TATCCAAGCTTTCATCTTCACTTTCATTTAATTTTGGTAAATTTACAGAAGGAATGGCATCATTTTTTAAACACCATAAATGCCGTGGGTAATTTTGTAGCTTTTCTTTTAAACGATAATCACTTTCCACAAAATGTTCAGAACAAATTCTAGAATTTTCGACTTTAAATTTACGTTTTTTGTTGCAAACACGCACCCATTCATCACAAATATGTGTCAGTCTAGGAAAACGAAAATACCGACAATTTAAATTAAAAGTATAGCTGTTTCTGTTGGAATTATTTGTACAACTCATCACCGCACAATACACCATGTCGCTTACTTTCAAATAGAACGACACGCAAACTTAGACCATATAGTACATGGACTGCTAATTGTAACGAAAATATGGTCAAGGACATCGCCTGGGTATGTGAGTTTCAGGGTAAACGAGTCTGTCCGAAGTTGTCCGATTAGACACGATTTGAGACTGTCAACCTATAAATTAACAAACGTCAATTAATTAATCGCCTAGATATGCCAAAAAAGCAAACCTATCCGTATTTGTGGACGTATAGAAGACAATCAAGAGTATTTAAAGCTTCCCGTACTACGAGGTTCCCTAAAAGCTACTCTTTACGCGATCCGAGTGGTGTTCATACGACTTTAGTTTACCCTGAGATTCACATACCCACGACTACAGTGCCCTCTATCCGTGACCACCCATTTTGTATTGAAAGCATAGGGATAATAGCAGTCCAGTCCATGTACTATATGGTCTAAGCACGCAAATCGCTACTGTCAAGCTGTCATTATGGCATGATACTATTATCATGTTACCAGTAATTCGTTTGTCACCCAGTGACGTCATTATAGATGCGCTCGCGTGCGCATGAGCATATCTGATTATTATAGTATCATGATCAAAAGTCGATTGTCACATACAAGGAGTGATAAATATCTGTTTGTATGCATTAATACGTTAATTATTCAATAATAAAAATAAAAAATAATTCCATTACTCTTTTCATCAAATGCTTCATTACTAGGCAGATCGATTAATCAATAATCAACAAAGTGTCCCTGGTTCGAATCCGGGTTCGGGCATGGATATTTGCAAATGCATAGTGGGTTGGTTGGTAGAAGAGCCTTGGCTGAAACCCTGCCCATTTGAAAATGAAGGTCAAAAATAAAAATAAATAAATAAAAATAAATGATTAGGCAGCTTACTCTCCGATGAGGTGTGCTTTAGTTTTGATGATACAATCTTAATTCATTTTAGCTGCTTAAATTGACGTTTTAACATCCGCTATAAAATAAAATAATACTTGTGAGCTGTGAGTGCTCCTTTTTGCGTAAACTGATGATCCAGCTAATAATAATCAATTAAAATTTACTTAATAATTGATTAATCAAACAATCGATTAATCAAATAACCGATTAATCAAATAATCGATTAATCAAACAATCGATTAATTAAATAACCGATTAATCAAATAATCGATTAATCAAATAATCGATTAATTTAATAGAATAATCAAACCCGATTATCGATTATCGTTTGATTATAATCGATTAATCGATTTTTTTGCCCAACGCTAGCTTCGATAACAAACTGCACGGCGACATTTTGATTTGTTGTTGATCGATACTAACAACGAAAGCTGGTCGGCCAATCGATGCGAATCGACGGATTCTCAACCATGAATGGGGCGAGGCGAGTTCTGCGCGACGATGAGTGCAAATTTTATTTCTGCTGCTCATGCGCCGCACACGTAACAAGTAGAAATATATACAGACACGGGCAAAATGGTTATGTACAGGGTATTTTCATTAAAGGAAAAACGAAAAGATATTTTATTCTAGTTTGGGGACGCAACACCAACTTTGTGTTTATTCCTAAGTAATCCTCCTAATTTATACTTAATAAATTGAAGTATTCTCATATACAGGATGTCACGTCATTATTTTCGGTGATTATACCGAAGTAACGTGTACATGACGTTGTTCACACGACGATATATCGGGTGAGTTTTTCTCTATTAGTATATGAGGGTTTCAAATGGGGAAAGATTTAGAGTTTTATGTGCCTTAGGTACTCAGAATACCCTTTGATTTTCCAGACATATTCATACCCCAGGAGTACCTATAGACGTTTTGTATAAAATCGCAATGGTAACTCAATCTCTCTACAAAAATAGTTGCGAGAATTGCTATCGACAGTTTTCTTCGCCATTTCTTTTACAACGGATTTCTAGGGAACAGAGCACTCCTTTAGGAATTTCATTCTATTTATATCTTTTTCCTACAAATCCATGTGGAATTATTATTCAACCTTTCCGCACCTGCTGTCTAAATTAAGTGTAAAATGAATCAAAATGCCGAAAGGGTTATTTATTGGCATTTAAAGCCAAAGGTATGTCGTGTTCCTCTAGAAATCATCGTACAAAAGAACGATACACCATTGGATAAGCTAAAGAAAAAGAATGCCCACCTCAAGTAGATTTCAAAGCGACTCCATCTTTTTCTCATTTGTAAAAAAAAACATTCCGAAGTCTCTTACATCAAGTACCTACATGAAATCCATTGTTAATTAATCGGACCTTCTCCAGTCCAGAAGGTATCTGAAGGTCCTGGATACGACAACATTAGACTAAAATTGTATTTTGAGATGAATGCCGCTAAGTAATTTTAATACTCCGACTTTTACCTCTGTACGGGCGTAAAAGTTAGTTACACTCAAAAAAAGCAGATTCGTACACAAAGAATTGGTCCCTAATCAATCAGAATGAGTTTAAACAATCAAATGAAAATTAATAACTGGCCAATCTCAAACAAATCAAAATAAGAATAACATTTACGTTGATGGAAAATAAAACCAAATTCAAGGGTCCATTAAGTTACAAGTACTAGCTGTGAAGGCAATAAAATTAAAATAAAGAGGATAATTACAATTACCTACCAAATTTTTGTTATGCGTAGCACAAACACGCATTATTGGTGTAGATATACGTTTGTTGTGACCTGGATCAGTACATTACGGTAATTAACAAACACATTGGTATAAAAGGCAGGAGACAACTTTTGTTTATTACTTAATATACAATATTATTTATAAAATATAATGCGTCACATGGCATCGATCTACATACTTCTTGCGCTCTGAGGAGGTTGTGTCATCTCTCGTATCAATCGGCGTTGCCGGACGTCGCTAATGTAGAATTTATAAGTTTCGATTACATGGTCTTGAGCCGAAGTTTATTTGGTCATTCGTTTAAATTTGTGGAAATTATCACAGGAAAGGGAACACCTATACTGAAACTGAAACAGTTACAACATCAAAACTGTGATTGATCTCGAATCGATCGTTTTCACATCGGCAGTTTCCGAACGAGGCACCCGTTCTCCGCACCAAGGGTAGGACCTTGCTAATAAAAAACTCTTTGGTTTTGAACCTATGTCTGATATGAGTTGCGATTGACTAATTTCCACATATTCCGTAGTTTAAACCTTTGAATGTGTTCTCCACGACCATGTAATTTTTCATATCCTTTCTGATAAAAAGGATTTATTGCACCAAAGATGCGAGTCACCTGTTGTACACCTACCTTGTTTTGTAACCTGCTTGCAACCCAACTAGTTCTTTGTGTTGCTACTTGCTTTTACCCTGTGATGATCTTAGGGGTCCCCGATCCAGTACTGCAATTTTGACTTACTCTATACATACAGTGCAAATCTCTGCCGACTCAAACTGGGTGGTGCGACTACCTTATATGGTAAATGGTATAGTGCTCTCAAATACAATCACTTGAGGCAACAAAATGCAAGAGAAAAATACACAGATCAAATGTTTCAAATTGTTCAATAAAAATCAGGCAATGGAGTCAAATGCAGTTAAACAAATTAATGAACATTTTTTACATTTTACATAAATTAGTTTAGTTCAAAAACACAATCAAATATAGCTACAGATCAATTACACCAAACAACTTGTAAAATGATAAACTGCATGTACATAAAAAACATCAAAATGGGCATGGCTCTGCTCCGTAATCAGTTCCCAGAAGAAAAGTTAATGAGAGGGCCCCCTTCCCGTATTGCCGGGAGCTCCAGTCCACGCGAGTAGTCTCTTGGTACTTCTTCCGGGCATCCCTTTCTCCAACATCGAGTTTTACCAAAAAACCAAAACACACTTGTTGGCACCGTTTATTTTAATTATTCTAATAGTAGGGGAGCTAGCACGAAATCCACTGAACGAGAATGATCAAAATTTTAACCGATGGAGTTCCATTTTGCCCTATCAGAGTATGCTAAAATCGATCGTCTGCCGCCTCGGGTCATATGACTTAAGGCGCTGCGGGTACTTCTTGCGGTACCATTTCTGAACGGTTGTTTTTCGAGAAAATAAGTTATACACCAAATGAAAACGTTGATAATAGCTCTTAAAAAAATATTTAAAAAAATCGCGCACATTTGATAACTCCGTAAAAAAACAATTCTTAGTCGGTTTTTCACAAACTTTCTACGGATATAACTAGGTAACCGTTGGATGAATGAAGCTGATTTTTTTTACAGACTGATGATAGGTACTAATAAGGACTTAACGGTGTTTGGTTTTTAAATTTTTTGTCTAATTACAATATTATCTAATTATCTTAACACTATAAGATATCTTATAATTAGAGAAAAAATTCAAAAAAGAAACACTCTCATAGTCATTGGCTGTACCTACCATTAGTCTATAAAAAAAATCAGCTTCATTCGTCCAACCGTAACCTAGTTATATCCGTAGAAAGTTCGTGAAAAACCGACTAAGAATTGTTTTTTTACAGAGTTATCAAATGCGCGCGATTTTTTTAAATATTTCTTTAAGAGTTATTATCAACGTTTTCATTTGGTGTATAACTTATTTTTTCGAAAAACAACCTTTCAGAATTGGTACCGCAAGAAGTACCCGCAGCGCCTTAAGTCATATGACCTGAGGCGGCAGACGATCGATTTTAGCATACTCTGATAGGGTAAAATGGAACTCCATCGGTTAAAATTTTGATCATTCTCGTTCAGTGGATTTCGTGCTAGCTCCCCTACTATAATTGGAACACGGCACAAGCACAACTCTTATATACAGATCTAAAAAATGTTATTTAAAATTATATTTTAAAAATAAATTTTTTAATCGATAAAAATCATGGACGTTTCGTACATATCTAAATAAAGTACATAAATTAAACAAATGCACATCATGGTGGCCTAAAATCTTGCAAAATATAAAATTCAAGATGGACCAAATCCCTAAAAAGACAAATTAGAAATAGCGCCTTATGTATTTATCACTTACAGTCTGAGTTAGAAGAAATTTGGATAGGACCTTATCCTTGGGAGTTAACTCCTTTAGATGGGTAGGATACTCGCGGCGATTTCGAACCGGAGTATTTCCAGTCGGTATGGCGTCCACTATATCGTTGTCGGTCGAGTTTAATAAGGCACTGATTTGTTGCGCTTTATTTTCTATGTTAGTCCTACAGCTGTCTCGCTCCTTTGAGTAGTCGTCTATCCTTTGGATCACGCCCGTGAGATTTTCTTCCGCTACAACGCGACCGCTCATCAGATTTGTGGATGAATGGGTTAATCTTTCCTTCATATTGTCGATGTTTGCCTATTACATACATAACTTTCAGTATGGTCATTGCCGGCATAAAAACCTATGTGATCGACATGAATATTGTCCCCGAAAAGCTGTCAAAGTGGAGGTATAAAAAGAGAGTAGAACTGTCATCTACCACAGACCTCCGGGTAAGGCTTTCTTCTACAAAATAATTACCAGAGTCCCTTCTCCTAAAAAGAACTGTATTGAACATAGGATCGGGGGTCTGGAATACCCCAAAGCAAAGGAACGCTACGAGGGTTTAAAACCAACAAACAGAGAAGGGTTGGATAACCCTGTCTCATAAGCCTCAGTACTCTCATGGTAGTATTCTGGAAATTGAAATGGAACTGTGAATTACTGGGGGGGACCCTTTCTTCCACAAAATAATTATCAGAGTCCCTTTTCCTAAGAATCACTGCAGAGAACGTAGCGGGTGGTCGGGGAGGCAGATGGAATACCTCCAGGAAAGGAAGACTTAAAAGCGCAACGACGGTTTAAAACCGACCAACAAAGAAGGGCTTGATAACCCTTTCAGTTAAGTGGCCACATCGAAAAACGACTCTGTTTCTTAGTTCTAACGGCATTTTCTGAGCCAATTTGGCCACATGGATTTTTAGGTGTAAAAAAATGTGCCGAATCCGATTCTGGATGTTGCCAGGCCGAATTTTGCACTAGGTCACAAATACAGCACGATGGCGTCACTATCTATTGTATTGTGTACTATTTAGTATTAAATTGTTTTCCATATAATTTATTACTTATATATATATGTAAGAGTTGGTTAATTAACTTCATACTTAGTTCGGAAAAATGTAGGAAAATATATCCTGTGGTGATATTATAAATATTATTATTATTATTGTCGGTGTTTCTTGTGAGAACTCAGGTCTAGCCTGGTTAACTAATCGCACGGATTAAAATCAAGTAACGATTAGTGTCTGTGTCTGTGTCTGGTGAAGTTATGTAGGGTTCTAAAGAAAAATAAAAATAAAATAAATATTCACACACTTTATTTATTATTATTATTATTATTATTGTCGGTGTTTCTTGTGAGAACTCAGGTCTAGCCTGGTTAACTAATCGCACGGATTAAAATCAAGTAACGATTAGTGTCTGTGTCTGTGTCTGGTGAAGTTATGTAGGGTTCTAAAGAAAAATAAAAAATAAAATAAATATTATTATTATTATTATATATAGGGTGTCCCAAAAAAGCTGTGAATTAATTAAATTAGTGTTTTACATTTTCCTCGGTAAATTTTGTTTGTTATTAAATTTTGTGCTTTTTAATAACCGTTGGTAAGTATTTAGGTTTTTTCCAACTATTAGAATGAAAATTTTTTAAAAAAATAATCCGAACATTTTGTAGATAAAGGTCTAAATTTATAAAATATAAAATTATATATTATTTATATAAAATTTTTTTTTCAAAAACAAGTTTTTTAGGCGGACGCTCTTATGGAAATTTACATTGGGTGCAGTGATAAGAGACACTGAAAAATCGAATGGTCAGAATAGCCCTCCTAAAAACTTGGCTCTAAATAAATTATGCCATCAACTGAAAGTGCACAAATATTTGCAAGTGCCTTGGCGACTGCTTCAATCGTAAAAAAATGAGCAGGATGATGAAGAAATTTAAGTTCCGTTAAAATTTTTGAACGAAATACAATATACATTTGCCGTCAGAATTATCTCTATATTGTTACTGTGTTGTCTGTATAATGTACCCAATATATGTTTTGCAATTTTCTGTGCCTCCTGTATGTTTTTTTGACACCTTAATCCGAAAAACTATGTAAAATGCGTCTGGCGTAAAAATTTATATATTTGGCCGCCATTTTGAAATTATCCAAAAATCAGCTTAGCAACATCCGAATTCGGGTTCAGCAGACATCTTTACCCTTATAAACGCACGTTTCCAAAATGGCTTATTAAATGCTGTTAGACTTGCGATTTATTAACTATGGCCACCCAACTATTTCTCATAAATCTCAGTACTTTCATGGTGGTATTCTGGTACTGGCAATGGAACACCAATACTCCCCAGCAACACTTTCCTCCAAAAAATAAGTGAATGTACACACTGACCACTCTTCACGCCCCCCAACGCTCGATCCTAAACTGTGGCGGTCATGTCGATAATGTAGGTTTTCATGTTACCAACGGTCAAAGCGAGTGATCACAAATGATCTCAAATAAGATGAGGTCTTTTATTCTCACATCAGCAATACTCACATGAACTTCGCCTTCAAAATCCGCCAACTTGGCCGAGCTTTCCGAACACACCTTCTCGCAGTACCTCTGTCGATCCGCGCCGCTATTTTCGCACTCCCTCATGACTTGAGTATATTTGTCGTTGCAGTATAAATTATGTTCTTCGACTATCGCCTCGAACTTCAGTATTGCACTTTTCGAATTGGCAAACTGTGTATGTTCACTGCATATGGCGGAGGCTTCTAAAGAGCCATGTTCTAATTTAGTCAAAATCGTGTCCGACTGTGTCGCGAGCTTACACCGCACGTTTTCAACGTGCGCAACATTCCATGCGTCGTGCTCCGCGCCCCTCACTACCGTCCTAGCAATTTGGTCGAAGCTCGAAGTTATGGCGTTTAGTATGGTATCTCGAAATTCGGCAGCTTGAGCGAGACTGTCTTCGTTTGCCTGAACCTTCATTTGAACACCTTGGAATAATAACCCTAACTCATGCGAAATGTCTTCCTTTAGAGTTTCCAGATCGTTAGACACGTCCGTGGCCGAAGATGCAATGAGCGAATTCAATTGTGACATGCGAAGCGATATGTTTGAAAAAAAGGTGGCGTGTCGCTGTGACTCACTCTCGAACAGTTCCCTTACGGATGAGTCAAACACTAACCTTCCCCTCTCTAGATTATCTACCAAACTGTTAGCGAGAGATTTTAGTGAAGCTGCATTCTCCCTTTTCAATTCCTCTATACCTTTGCAAGCTTCTTCCACCAACGCATTCAACTTACCACAATCTCTCTGCAAGGTGGAGTGAATTTCTGAAAATAAATTCGTAATCTCGTCACATGTGCTTCGTTGCCATTCACTCGATGAACTGATTAATTCGCGTGCTCTGCTGTAGTTTTCCGCGAAATTGGTTGCGTGGTACGTGAGATCGTGCAATATTGCATCACAGAGTTGGGCTACATGTTCACTTTTCGTTTGAATTAGGGCACTATTACAGTTGTTAATCGAATATAATTGCTCGACTTTCTCTCGTAAGAGCGCCTCGTTTAAAGTGGTGGATTTAACAATCTCGAGGAGCGAGTTAGCTTCGTTATGTAGATTTTGGGCGTTCTTCTCGTACCGATTCGCCAAGTACTCCTGCGTTTTCTTCTCCAACTCGATTTTGGCACGTAGCTCCCTCTCTTTTTCAATTTCGACGCGGGTCTCTTCGAACGACCTGTTCAGAGCCTCGTACTCCTCCTCGCATCTGACCTTTTCCTCTTGGAGAAGCTTCAATTCCTTTTCCAAATTTTGAATCTGAAGCGCGCTTTGAGTGACCTTATCCTTAGAAATTTGTAAATTAGTAACCAGGTTGTTGTAGTTGTCGCGATCCATCCGTATTCCTTCGCCCGTTTGGGCCGCCTTTATGTCACCTTTTAGACGGTGTATTTCGCTAACGTACTGGGCAATTAACGCCTTCTGCGACATTCGCTGATTCACTTCGGGCTTATTCGTAATGACCTGCGCCTTAAATGCGTAGTCCAAAGTGCTTAGAGTTTCGTCGATGCTCAATGCGCAAGGCGATATGGTTGCTATGATCACAGTCTTTGTCCTACCCCCTAAACTATCTTGCAAGATTCGAGTCAATTTTGATTCCCTGGTAAAGGAAAAAACTCCCATCAGTAAAACAGTACATAAGACATAGGACTTTTTGCACAAATAACCCTTTTCTAAGAGACTTAGTCTAAGCCTTACTTGATACATAGTTAGTTGTGAGGTCCCCCAAGGCTCACTATGGAGTCCAATGTTGTAAAAACCGGAAGGAGATTATTTTTTGTGAAATTGGCGTTTATTCAATATAATTCATTGACTTTGGTAAAACACAACTGAAGGTCACGGCCGGTTTTAAGGTAACTCAAGCTTCTCAACGAAATCAAGTAGTCCATGAAAAGTTGAGGCGACATTCACAGGGTCAAAATTTGATTATTACACTCCTTCACCCTTAAATTACCAAAAAACCCTTAAATCATTCACCGATGACGTCATCAGTGGAGCGTTTTTTTTTGGAGATTTTGAGTTAAATAGGGCGCTGGTAAGTCCGTGAGGGGTCTTAAACTTTCTAAAATGTCCATCCGCATGTGTTGGAAGCCTTTTGTCGCCACGAAAATGCGTATTTTCTTTAAATTCCATAAAATGAGAATTTTCCGCCATTTTAAAAAACTAAACGTCAAATTGATGGACGAGTTCATTTCAAGATAAACCAAAGGGGTGTCCTAGGTCGGGACTATATTTTGACGAAAATTAGTACAAATATGAAAAATTTAACGCGAGTATAGTTGTTGTAATTGTCTTTTTAGAGCATTAACTTGAGCTTTGCGGTTGGTAAAAATCATCGAGGATGCTTTTTAACGCCAAATATATAGCAACATAGTATATTGTCGAGGTTTAACGCCAATTTTCTCGTTAATAGAGTTGCGCCTCAAATATGCATAAAGTATACCTAAAACACACACTACCCTTTTTTGTACACACCGCCTCTAGACTGCCTCTACGACGGTGGCAAAAGCGACCAAACGCCAAAAGACAGCCGCGAGTTCGGCATAGCTCGGACCCTCCATTAGACTCGTCTCTCTACGTCCACGGTGGCAAACGACGTTTAGCAACGGCCAAACACACACTAAACTTTTTCAATCATACGTCCAACCTAATAAAAAACGGCGATCTTTGCGAAAACGTAGAACTACTTAAAATAGTACTACCATTATATTCCACCCGAAATACTTGTTTAAATAGCAGGAAAAACGGAGCTTGCTGGTTCACAACGATCGGAAAGCGTGTACGTTTCTTTACATCCGATTTGATTAGTCGAAGACGTAGTTTGTCTTTATTATAATAGTTTTGTGCAAAATCAAGTTAACAAAAGTTGAGTACGGAGTTTAACGCGGTTTGTAAGCAAGTGGGGCCTTTTGTGAAGGTTCTCTTATTATCAAAGTTAAAAGGTTGGACCGTCTGAACAGCCACCGGCAGTTCGTCGTTTCATTCTTCGAGTTAATGTTATTTGTAATCAAAATTTGTGTGTTAAGAGAAAACTGAAGTTCAGAAGCTCTCAGCGTTTTTGTGTGGAGTTAAGTTGTTTATTGCAAACCGTCGAAGGACCAGATTAGGATTATTAAAAGAGAAAAAAAAACTAATTTTGAGATTTTCTTATTTTATTTGTCGAACACCTGCGCGCGGGGTAATTTGTCTAAACAAGTTTTGTAAAATTTTCTTTCTTTCAGAAATGTTGTTTTCAATTATTTCATGTCATGTGTTTTGGAATCAATTTTTGTCATTGTCGATCAATTAAGTGTGTGTTTATTCGAACCCATTGTGCGACCCGGACAGTTTTCATGTCAGATTTTTCTTTTCTCGTGTCCAAGAATTGTGTCTGGAGTTAATAAAAATTAGTATAGTTAATCCTTTGGAATTTCCAGAAGTTGATCCTAGGGTACTGATGAGTCTCCCAAATTATTCGTTGAAGTCAATATTGGGATTTTTCTTTGTAGCAGATCCCGATGTTGTACAGAGGCAAATTACAACATTCTTAATTTAAAGACTATTTTATTTTTGGATTGCTGGCCAGGTGTTATATGGGTGGTGTAGTTGTAGTTGACCGCACGCCATTATTTATTTGGCGCCCAATGTAGAGCAACAGAATTTTTATGAAAGTATTGCTAGGGGCTCACGTAACTCCAATAACAACCCAGCTAAAGCTAGAAAGTTAAAAAATTCAGGAAGCAATGCAAATCTTGGGAAATTGGGAGCTCAATTGGCGATCCTTGATGTATATGAAAATAAACCAAAATTTCAGATCAACAGCACGTATGTACAGTGTAAATAAAGTGTGATTATACATCATACACTATAGGGTAGCAGCATACATATTCCTGAAGTATAAGGTTGGGGGGGGGGAGGGGATTTTTTACCGCAATGCTCTCTTATGCCTTCCTAAACCGTGCATCAGATTGCAATGAAACTTTGGGAAATGGTTGGACGTATGCCTGGCAAGGTTTTCTGATTTAGTCAAACATTCCCACATGGACGGGAACGGAGAAAAACGGAATGTTACGTTTTACAGTCGAAACTAAGGCAGATAGACTTGACATTTAAAACATAGGTTTATTTGAAGGGGTAAAGGTGTACTCCCAAAGCACTTCCCTCTTTCCTTTCAAAGAAACGATCGTATACGGAGGGGGGTCGGAGGGGGGGGGGGGTTGAATACCCTCAGCAAAGAAGACTAAATCTCGCCATTCATTAGCTGTCCGTACATTGGGGGCATTCTGCCCCCCCCGCCCCACTAGGCGTTTGCCATGTCACCTATAGCTCCAGGTAATTGTTTCAACTTGAGAAGCAATTTCTTCATCCATTAGATTCTCAGAAGTTTGTGAAGGGTTTTTCAGAACGTAACATATGGATCAGTACTGGTCGGGCATTTGGCCAGATATGACAATCAAATAGACGTTGGTGAACGACTCTATTTGAGGGTTAAAGGAACTGCAGATAGTATCTTGGGCAAATAGATCTTTGTCATGCATACGACCATCAAAATTACCACTTCCAGGTTGGGCCATGCGGCACCAGCACTTGAAGCACTGTTAAATTTGATTTCGTGCCTCAAGGGGTAACGAAGCACCCGTTGTCCGCCTTGGAGTTTCATACTCGAAGTTACTTATGACCACACCATATATTTGTGAAGTCAACCAGCTTTGCTGAACACTCGGTATCTAGAAGCGTTTTAAGTTGGGCGCTTCGTTACTATAAGTAGTTTCAAAATTTACTTATTTGAGATAGAAGTTTTGAGCCTATCGCAACGACACGCCGACCGATTTGGAATTTCCTATGTTCCCTCCCTGCAAGAACCGAATTTTGGATAGCCGAAGCTTCCGAGACCTTTGCTACCGCCGACCTCGGCCAAGCGCGCAGTCGTTCGCTTGGTGGGCGGTGGCGCTCGAGTCCGTCCACTCGTCCGCCCGTATGTTCGTCCCGCCAACGTTTATCCGCTCCAGGGATATTACTTACTATAATTTGTATTTTTATTTATTTTTCTGTTAAATTAAATTACCATTATTATTCCGCTAATATTTATTTAAATATTTGCTAAAGTGTTGGACTTAAAATAATGATTCATATGATCTCCCTAAAGTTAGGAAATGTTAATGTGTACATTGAGGGATTAATCTGCAGATTAACAGTTCTGATTAAGTGCGAAAAAATCTTGGAAAGACCAATACAAATACGTGATTCACGTCGTCTCTTGTTTCTCCCCTCTCACGGTCTGATTGCGCAGCATTGCACTTGCTCGCGCTTGGTCACGCCCTTCTATTTTCAAGTTGATCCAGTTGGTTTTTTTCACAATTTAAATAAGATTTGTTATATTGAGTAAATTGAGTTAATTTTACTGAGTATGCCAAATTAAACTCGAATGTTTTATTTTCTAGCAATGTTAAATTGACATTTTAATAGATTTGAATAAGTAGGCTAAGTTGCTCTTTAACCGCAAGAGTGGATAAAGTAAAACAGATGATTATACATTCTAATGATATCTGTCATTCTTATTCCAAATGGGACGCGAAGCACGATATAAAATGACGTTCAGAAATATGCTACACTAACACCAGTAATCATTATACTAGAATATAGAATCCTATTTAATACCATTTAATGTACTGCAACATGCAAATTACATCAGATGAAATTGGTTTTAACGCAAGCTAGCGCATAGGTTTACCTAAGCCCGATTGGTGCGCAGTGAAGTGGACTGCAGTAGTCAGAGTACCTGGCTCGAATCAGAGTTAGCATTGATATTTGTAAATGTCTAGTAGATTGGGTTAGTAGAGCAGGCTTGACTGAAACCCCGCCCACTTAAAAATAACGACAAATAAAATATCTGAGTCCAGTCGCATCAAATCAAAAATAATCCTGTGTTCAGACGGGATTACTTATGATCAGAGTATTAAGGCATTTGATTGGCTCCATAGTGGATGTGTTTATACCCTGATTGGATAGTGTAGTGTCAAAGGTATTACCCAATCACCTTTCTTAAACACCAGGATCAGGTGTGTTAATGACTATCTTGTATAACTAACATGAAACCTTCAGTCTCTGGGAAGATATAAATTATTATTATTATCATTGCTTTTTATACTCGCTCAATAGTTTTGCACACACCGAACGCCCCTTGAAACTTACCTAAACGGTACGTGCAAGTTATTTTCAGCTAATGCCTTTATAACACGTCCCAAAGTAAGCAGCGACTGATTTATATTTCCCGCCTCTCTGGCGCGCTGCTCCATCGAACCGGACCGGCCGATATTCTCGCTACCGGCCAAATCGACTAAATTAAGCTTCCCTGTCTTGGTTACCTCTTCGCCGTCATCGGTCGGCTTGCGCATGTGCACGAATATCGAGAATACGGCGTGAGATCGACTGGAACGGTCGTTCATGTACGTGGACGCCGTATATCGTTTTTGAAGACCTTTCTGTAACAACTTGAACAGGTCGTGCTTGCTATGTACTGTAATCTCGGAAAGGCCTTGTATGATTACCGCCCCCTTATTTCGGTGATTTTCAAAAATTCTGTAAAAGCACGATTAAGCTTGGGCGCAATTAAGTATAGGTATCACCTCATTGTAGTAGTACCCTCACCGTCTGTTAGTAAATCTCGAAGATCTTCATTGTATATTTCTAAATAGGAGCACTGTACGGAATATGGTTCTTGGACCTTCTTTAATTCGTCGAACAACTTTTCAATGACACGAGGTATGAGTCCGGCTGCATCATCCTGCAACAGAATGGTGCTGTCTTCTCAAAATAACTAACCTTAACTCCGCTCACCAAAACCGAGTCAGTCCGAGAATTTGCGTTGTGACAGTCCACAGGGTCCAAATACGACAGGCTACCCGTCATCGTATAGGTCTTCCCCGTCCCCGTTTGACCATAAGCGAACACCGTGCAATTGTAACCGGCCAAAATTTCCGATAAGAGCGGTTTGGCAATAGTCTGATATACGTAACATTGCTTGCTGTCCGGGCCGAAAACGCCGTCGAATGTGTACTTTTTCTTATTGTTCAGATTCACGCAGATGTCTCGGGATCTGATCTCGAGAGCTCGGGCCGGTTTCTCGTTCTCGTGAAAGGGCCTAGATATGTGAATAGGTAATAAGAGATAGCTGAGCGTTTTATTTACCTTAATCTAACGTAAGCCCTTATAGGTTGGTTCTTCCCTTCATCCACCTTTTTGGAGGCGTGCATTTCGGCTTTTGGTTAACTTAAATTATAAAAACACAAAATTGTTATGAACTAAAAAGACGTTAAAAATTCAAACCACCGACGCTAGCTTCACGTGAAGCCAACTTCATTACGATTCGTCTCTGCGCTCATGTACAGGGTGTCCATTTTTCGCGTTCAACGTCCTTGGTTAAAACATTATACAATGTTTAAATTGAAGAAAAATTGCTAATATCATAATTCATAATTAAATAATACTTCAATTACAATGTCTCTGAAATGCCACCCAATCTTTTGATGCTACTACACGGAGTCATTGAATAAAATATGACGGAGCGTAATCCGACCGAGACCGAAAACAAGTGGTTTTATCGATTTTTTCAAAACATACTTTTCTAAAGATCATTAAATGCCATACAATTTATATATTTGTAACAGGCAGACTCGAAAAGCCGCAAGGCAAAGCAAGAGCACAGCTGGCAAGAGCGTAGAGGTGATACAGCGGCCCTAGAAAACCTTCAAAGCTACTGTCTCTTCTTGTTCATATTGTCCGTGTGTGATTGGGAAGAACTGGACCATCGTCAAAATTCAATACAAATGTGACGGCTGTGACGTTGGAAACCACTATCGTCTTGTGCACTCATGCAATTATATACATCTACTTCCCACTATAAATCTCGTCTTGGTGGACGTCCTTGCCGTCTCGCACATACCAAAGATAATAGCAATGATAATATTATCTTTGCACATACTTACCAAAAAAGGATTGCAAAAGATGCTTAAAAATTGGCTGACAAGGCTGATTTTGAGTCACGGAAAAATCTTTTCCTGTTAAGGCCGCCTAAAAAATAATATCTAATCCTCTTGTACCGAAAGTTAAACCGAATATTACTTTTGGAGAAGTTCTTTAAAGAGAGCGAAGCATTGAATCTAAAGTATCTGACCGAGATTGATGCGGTGCCATGACTCATGAAGCTTCTCGCTGCAACTGACACTATAACTCCAGTGTACACATATATACTTATTAATTTTCCATCATTGTTTTTGGAAATTATCATCAGTGTTTGGAAAATGCCTTAACTTTTACGGTTTTGAAAACGTTTTCATTTTTGGTGTAAATATTTGCTCAATTTATGGTTATGTCTTCATTGCATGTTCTTGGCCCGAGATTAAATTTATATTTTTGAACATTCATTTAAATCTGCATAAATTATTGAATTGTTTGCTGTATGTAATTTTCCATTTTGCTTTTAACAAAAGGATTTTTTTGCAATGAGTCAAATCTTGTGCACTTTACCCTTTTTTGCAACCGCTGTATTCCCTAAACTTGTTTTTAACCTTGACTGCAACCAACTTTACGTACCTATGCATCTAGCACGTGTTCCTTTAATTATTTGGGATTTATTAATCAAGGGCATAATATAGAGAAAATACAATTGTATTTCCTCTATGTCAAAGGTCAAGACTGTTGAATAATTGCACTTGGTATTCAATTACTTTTCACATATATGTGACTGCGCCATCAAAACGTATTAAAGGGTGAGAAAGAGGGAGCATATAGGAATAATAATTATCCCTCTAGGAATTAAAGGAAAATTACTATACAGCTTTTGGTGAAGTTCTTCCCCAGAACCATGAGAGCCAGCTCGGCCTTTCCCCCCGGTCCTACATTTTTCACCAAAACGTGTACAGCGCTCACCGCTCTTTTTTGACAGGGAGCCTCCATAAAAAATGATCATACGAGTAGTGAAAGCTATAAACGTTTTGGTGGAAAATGTAGTGCCAAGGGATTTGGGGGGTATATACCCTCCTAGGCTCCTGTCCCCCCATGAACGAAAACTACAAGGGTCTGATGATGAGAGGTAAAAATAATACAGGGGGAGGGGCAGAATGGAATAGGTATCCCGGCCAAGAAAAGAAAATTCAATAGTACCCCGATGCCTCTCAATGATTTTCTCCCCTAAAACCTGAGAACTGAACTCCCACCACTTCCTGGGGGTTTTCCAAGCGCCTACATTCCCTGGTGCAACAAATTGTTCCTCAAAACATGTATAGCCCTCATCACTTAGATGATCCTGACGTAATACAAGGCGGGAGAGAATGGAATCCTCCAGGAAAAGAAAATTCAAATGCAATTAGTACACCCTACTGGCCCTTCCGTGAAGTAACCTCCCTGAACCTCATCAGTAGGTAATAAACTCTTTCTGGGGCGAAGAAAAAATTGAAATCTTGAAGAAGGCGGATATTAGATGTGATTTGTGAGTGAGGCATGTAGTAAATGTCCATCGAAGAAGGAGGGGCGAAGGGGGAGGAGGAGTATCAGGAAGGCTTGCAGGATGTTTACGGAAGACGTGAAAGCGTTTGCGAATGAACGAAACAGGGATGAGAGGGCAAATAAGAAACGCAATGAGGAAGGCGGCAATGACCCATGAGTCACAAAAGAAACTTTTGTGCACTCAGTTCACTTCAATCACATGAACCCTAAAATGTTTAGAGGGCCGTTAGTGTTATGAAAACAGGGCCGGCCCATGCATATGAGGCGCCGTTAGGCGAACATGTCATATTGACTCTTGGTACAGAGGGGGGGGGGTACATGTAGGAGCCCGCTTCTCCTTATTGAAGTTAGGAGTTTCATCTTCATTGTCTTGAACTTCAACCAGAACTGTCATGCACATCGATAGGCATGAAAGGTCAATGAGGGCTATTTAAAATCGAAAATCAAATTTGATCTTCGCAAATCTTCGCCTCTTGCTCACAAGCGGCTTAACGATTATTTTTCTTTTTTTCGTCTCTCTCTGCCCCCCGTTTCTTATCTTCCCAACCAGATGGTTTCTTTTTCTGTGAGGACATTTTCTACGTATTTTTTACTGTATTTGACCTTCCGTAATTTACACAACAATCCTGAAGATAATAAGGGGTTGTTGAAGAGCAGAGGTATTTAGGTGGGCCACTCTCAAATTTTGGGCGATTAAGCGATTGTTGGCTATCCTAAACGGGCGATAGGGAAAAACTCCCAAACAGACATATTCAGCTTCACGTACGGATGGAGCTGAAACAATGGTATTTACTCCAGAGAACTGTGAGCTACCATATCACCCAACCATTAGGCAAACTTCCTACTGTTTTCAAATTAGGGTATCTAGGACTAACGCTCAGTGCAAGTGAAGTTCTTAAGCATAACATAAAGAACAAAACTATCAGAATCTTCAGTAACAGTAGAGCTGGCTTGCAGGCACTTAGTTACTATAAAATTACCTCGCTAGGTTGGTTTCTGAATGTCACCATGCCCTAGAGCAAGTAGCATAAGCAGCAACACCCTTGAGCTTGAATGGGTCAAAGGACATGCTGGAACGGAAGGTAATGAGAAAGCCAATGAGTTAGCCCGATCGCCTCAAAATAGGCGTATTATGATCCAGAGCCGGCTCTTCCACTTACAGTTGCAACTGTAAACAACTTAATAACTCAAGACACCCACACCCCAGAAGTTAGAGAGGTTGAATTTGAGGCCAAAAGGTATGCGTGAACCCTGTCTACCTTCCTATTGTAATCCAAACAGGGCCCTCGTTTGTCCACAATCTTTGTGGTTAGTGGTGCAAAAAGATCTAATGACAAATGGATAAGTAAAATGTATTCCATATACAGGCTTAATAAGAATGGGACGGCCTGTGTGTGAAAACACCAGGGTCCCTGACTAGACTCCGGATTCGGGCAGGGATATTTGTAAATGTATGTACAGTAGGTCGGGTTGGTAGAGCTGCCGTTGGCTGAAACCAAATACACAGGAAACGCGCTACTGTTTGCATTTACGTAACCTGCGACACGAAAAAGAGCGCCATCTACACGGTCCGGTGTACAATGACGAAAAATTAAGGAGCAAATTAATTGCACTACCAAGTGATATTACTAAATACCTTAATGTTATCAGTTTATCCATAACAATAACAATGTAATTTGCGACCGGTTTTCAACGTCAGTTTCCTGTATTAATATGTGAAGGTAACGGGCGATCAAAAATTAGTTGCTGTCGAGTCGCCTTTGGAAGTTCAAGTTAAGTACGATTTCCCATGTAAACAAAAATTCCAAAGGCGACTCGATAGCAACTCATTTTTGATCGCATTGTATTTGCTGAAATTCTGCCCATTTCAAAAAAAAAACCCAAAATTAATAAACAAAGTAAGAAGACAATTAAATATAACTCTCGCCAGGAAAGATTGCCGGTCACAGAACACTTGATCCCGATATACAATCTATGTTTTTCTTAAGATGCGAGCGACTTCCGGAATAGGATCGTACTAATGTTGAACGAAAAGTCTTTTTGTTCAACATTGACACGATACTACCCCGGAAGTCGCTCACATCTTAAAAAAAATATAGATTGTAAATCGGGATCAAGTATTCTGTCACCGGCAATCTTTCCTGGCGAGAGGTTTAGCTACAATATGGGAAAAAATAATAGACCAACTGTAGCATTAATTTAGGGTTAATTTTTTTTGTCATCAATTTCAATTGTCTTTGGTGCTGAGCTATAGATCCTACAGCTTCTTTGGTTTTAAAAATTAGAGAATAGTGGTCATACCATTGAATTGTCATACTTAAGGAATTCTCGACACAGAAGGACATTTTAAATGAAAGCCACAACAGCCACGACAAATTCTTGGACAAATACATTTTATTTTACCAACACAAAAGAAAAAGACATACAATACAAAAGAATTCAAAACAAACATACTGTAAACTTATGCAACAATAAAAAACACTTACTTATATCTTAACTTTAACCAACTGCGAGACCAGGTCTCAAATTATCGACTGCAACTTGGAGTGTGCACCACTCTGACTAATTTCTGCGCGCACTAAAGCTCTAAGGCGGCTGCATCTCGAACGCAAGATGTGCCGCAGTACCGCTTAAATGCACGTAGGATCATAATTAAATAAATCTATCTATATATACTATACAAACACTAACTAATAAATATACATCCAAGTTCCACTCGAGAGTTGCTTTATTCAACTTACGGCTACCCTACGTCTACACTTTTTTTCTTAATTAAAATAGCCTACCTACAAATCTTAAGAGTTCTAACGCCTACAACTAAACATACTACACTAAATCTACAAGCTAACCTAGTCTAGTTGCGGCTGTCCGCTTTCAATTTTTATATTACAAGGCACGGACTTCTCCGGCCTGACTTATAGGTAGTCGTTTGACTCGATCGACAATAAGGTCTAAAAAATAGTTTTATACCATCAAATGTATGGTTAATACCAAAATAAACTGAATCTATCAGTTAACAGTGTAAAAATCTTCATAGTTTTGCACGTCCGCTCGATACTAACAATTTGATATAAATACTTTTTTTTTTATCGGTTTACGACTATGAGTACCAATCGTGCACTATCTAACATAGTAATATTACATGTGTCAAGTTAGTTGCGGGTCAATTTTCGCTGCTTTACCCTTTAGCTTTAGCGAAAAGGCAAAATCAGAAATCGCCCATCATAATAACACTAAGGGTTTTCTTTTTTTTTTTTGATAGCTATACACACAACAGACATGATGGGGAGGCGGTGTAACCGCGACCTGCAATAGCAGAAATACTAAGGGGTGTACACCCTCCCCACTGCCCACTGACAATTCTAAAGAAATAACGTAAACTAAGTTTTTAAACTGCCTACAACATACAGAAACAACTAGAAGTTAAAAATTTGGTTTTTTTCGGTTACGAAAACACCGAGATTAAAAAAATATATTTAAAATATTTTTCAGTAAATCCCTGTCAATGGACTATCTGAAAAAGGCACGATTTCTATAATGCGACGTTCTTTCAAATATACCTGGTTATTTTTCGTCTATGAGTTTATTGTGTATTGTGAACTTTAAAAATGATCCAATCCCACACACCGCGCTACCGGCAAAAAAATTCAACAAAATCTACATGAAATTTGATCAGTTCTGTGGCTCACTTTGGCAGCGTGAAATTTTCACCAGGTAAAATATCTAAAGTCACAATGTTGGGTTTAGGGGTGTCATGTCGAAAATTCAATTTATTTACAGCATCTGAACCGACTTTAGTTTTGAAAGTAACCTTCTTCGACCGATATTGAATTGAAGTGCTGTAACACAGTGGATTTTGGACAGAACTCCTTTGTTTGTCGACACAGAACTGTTACTGTAATGATTAAGTCTTCTATGATTTGGTAACGAACCATGCACTGGTGTGGTATACTGGGCAACGACCCCGTCTTTCAAATTCTTTACCGTTAAAAGCCAAGTCAAGATAAATTGGGATGAAAGAACTAAGTTAATGGATTTTTTGAAACAAAAGACAACTGTTTGGAATGTTGTGTTTTTTTTGGAAAGATTTATTAGTCGATTGGTTGGAGGAGAGATGGCAAAAAAGAAGCTTAGTTACTTTATTCCAAGTTTGAGTGAGTTAGCTCGAAGGAAAGATATGAGAGAAGGTGTCTGTAGAACAACAAGTGGTAAATAAAACCTTTCAAGTATTATTAACAAAAATTTAAAGTATGTTTATTTGAAAACTTCCAATTAATAATCTACCTATCTATAATATAAACAATCTGGAAACAAAATTATAGTCTAAAACAACAAACAGTACACAATCATTTTTAAAGTTCATTAAGAACCGTAATAGGTGTACCCTTAACAAAACCAGGTCAGCCTAAATCTTTGATCGTCAAGGCTTTTTTTATTTTGGGTCGATATCGATGAACAATCAATGAGAAAACGAAATAACACAATCTTTATCGCCACCACTGCAAGAACAGAAGCACTTAAGCCATTCATATATAAATTACACTGTACAAAATTGAAACATCATAGAGGGGGAGGGGAGGGGGGGGGGATCTTCTTTAATTGCAACAATTGCGATAAATCATTTTACTGATTCAACATTATCTAGTCAGTCCATTTATAAAGATTCCCATATAAACAAAAAAGAAAAAACTGTACAAACAGAAAGCTAAATTGCACTAACAAAATGTATCTGGAACCGAAAAAAAGTCACACGCACACAATTAGGTCAGTTCCGTCACTCTATGGGCACCTCGATAAATGAATCCTCAAATAAATACTCACAATTTAAAACATCTGACAAATATCTGGAATGTCAACAATGAACGGGTTAAATTTTTAAATAATGCATTTAAACGTACATAAACTAATAAATAATTTACAATCGACAGAAATATAATACACAAAGAAGTTTCGAAGGGAGACACTTCGAAACGAACCGTATAAATTGAATAGTACGATTTTATGCGAACAATATAAAAAAAATCGACAATACGATACACAGATACATGTAAATGACATGATTGGAAGTCAGTTCGTATTGAATATGGCTTATATAATTAGGAAGATGCATTTGATTTTTTAATGAGCAGTCTAATACCTGCATTGCAAACGTAACTACCTACGTATGTAGACTATCATCAAAAATAAAATCGCTAATTTTACCTAACCTATGCCTTTTGGCTTGGGAAGATCATTTCAACTACAATTCTCATGTTTTACTGCTGCCTTTTCAGTCTGCACAGTTACTTTAGAATCTCATAAGAATTTCAAGACATCAAACATTAAATATGCCATAAATCAATAGCTTCGAGCGACATCGTTGACCTCAAAAAAACAATGTACAAAACAAACACTACTAGGCGACTTATCTAAAGCTACGACACACACCTCTCGTGTTTTCAATCGCAGGCGGATTAAAGAGTATTCAGTGGTATTGGTAAAACGAGCCACTTCCGAAACAGTAGAGTACACATTTTTCGCTTATCCCGTTTCTGCAAAACAAGGACAATCATCGTACTCAATATTTTCGTCACGTCTAACAGATCTCCAAAGCACACTCTAACCAGCACTGATAATTAAATCTATTTACGAATGAAAATATTGCATCTTCCCAAGCACAAGTTTTCAAAAATGTCCCTGTTGCATCTTCAGTCTATTGTGAAAATAACTGTAGCAAACGTAAAAAAGCAGCAGAAGAGCTAGAAAAATTTCTCATGCAATTTTGAACTTGCGCATTTATTTATATAATACTACAGGCAGAGAATTTATAGATACCAAAAATATTTCATTGCGTTCAAAAATATGTAAATCGTAGGCGAGGAGAAAAGTATCACGTTTGAAAGAAAATATAAGTTCAAGACGATATCGTCAATAATTTAAGTATATAAAATAATAAATAAAAAGCGGCAAAATAAATATATTAAAAAATATAAGATATTTAAGAAATCTATAAACTCTGCAACATTCTACTTATCGCAACTCTCTACTTAGGTGGTTGGTACGCCTGATAAGGCTCGTCCGGACTGGCGGCGTTCGAGGTGTGCTCCGATTCTGCGACGGGCATCGCCTGAATGATGGGAGGATAGTAAGGGTAAGAAGGAGATATATAAGATCCTGTCGATAGGTGCATTGCTCCCATTTGAGCAGTCAACTGGAAAAAGAAAAATTATTTTTAAAAACCAAATCACAAAATGTCATTCATTCTATGGTGCGATTCAGTAAATCATAGGGCAATATTATTCTTCTGGACGTAAGTTACCCGCTTCTATTGTTGAAAGTACCTTAACAAAATTGCTTCTTTTCTTGAAATAGATGTAATGATTTGATTTACTAAATGGCACCTGCCATTGTTATGCTAATAGGTTTCTACATCCTGGGTCTTTTGTGAGACAACAACACATTTGGCAACGCTACTTTCCACAAGAATGGAACACCCTGTATATTTTTAGCTGATTCTACGTCATTTTTTAAAAAACCTTTTAGTCCGGTCAAAATAGACATTTCAAATAACAAAACTCAGACAGAGCTGAATTTTGGTAGAGACCTTGGGTACACCAGTAGAAATAAAGTACCAAAAGTCCCCATAGATCCCATGTGTGCTAAAGAAGTCAAAAGTCAAAATTTTCGGTTTTTTGGATTTTTCTCGAAAACGGTAGGTTCTATTAAACATGTAACTCAGACAAAAATTGTTCACTTTTTTCTTTAAAAATCACCATTCCAAAGATATTGCCCTTTGAAGGAGTACATTCTACACCGCCGGTGACTTGGCACGTTTTTTTAACGTGGTTTCCCCGGTAGGCCTACTCCACGATCTGTTATGACGGTTTTTATGAGAAAATACTGTATTTACGGCATGATGATTAGGTATTGATTTTGAAATTGATATATAGGTGATTTAAACTGCAGTTCTGTTTTCTGTTAATATTTTAATCTGATTCGTACTCTTCAAATTCGGCTTGAACAGTCATGTCTTCTTAGATTTCTTTTTCTTCTTCTTCTTCTTCCCCTTCTTCTTGCTGTGTGAAAGATGTTCATCCGCTTCATCGCCACAAAATATTCATTCAACGACAAATAACTGTAAAACCCTGCCAGAGAGAGTATTCTATGTAAATGTGTTGTACCTGTCAAACAAAGAGCGGTTGTACAATTTTACAGAAATCGCGCGGTCCCAGAGGTATTTTGAGTTGTGCTTACAGATTATAGGATGTCTGATCACACAGAGATTGATTCCTCTCGTTCGAGCGTGCATTGGCCCGATTTCCTCTTGCGCCCTTGAGTTCAGAGCTGGGCGAGAGTTCTAAAAAACCGCTCGAGCGACGAGCGATCTAATTGTCTCAAAAATGCTCGCGAGCAATGATCGAGTTGTTTTTCAAGCGAAACCGCTTGCGAGTTCCAAGCACTCCTAAAAGTGCTCGAGCGGTTTATCTCGAGCGGAAAAAACGCTCAAGAGCAGAAAAAGCGCTCGGGAGCGGAAAAAACCGCTCGGGAGCGGAAAAAACGCTCGCGAGTTGCGCTTAATCCTTCAGAGCTTGAGGGCGGTTAAATGCCTTCATGAGCGAAAAAAAAACGCTCAGGAGCGGAATAAACCGCTCGCGGGCGGAAAAAAAAGCGCTCGAGCGCCGAGCACTTTAAGTAAACGTTCGAGTAACGAGCACCAAGCGGCCGCTCCGAAGAGTGCTCGCAAGCGCTTTTTCCGCTTGAAGCGCTATTTCAAGCAGAACGCTCGCAAGCAGTATCCAACTTTGCTCGAGTTAATGCAAACGAAAGAACTACCTCTTCTTCGTCGGAAGAATTAATAAACATTGTTTTTAATGTACTGTTTTACATATTAGGTGCCTGACTGGTATATACGTGGCATTTGTTTGCATATTATACATAATTTAAATCCTTCAACCCTTAGAACGGCAATATCTTAGGAATTGTGATTCTGAGGAGAAAAACCATAAGAACTATTTTTGTAGATAATTTTATGATCTACAATATTTGTCTAAGCTACATGTTTGATAACACATACAATTGTCGAGCAAAATCAAAAAATTTTAACCTTTGACCTTGAATAACTTTTTTAGCACACATGGGATTTATGGGGACTTTTGGTACCTTATTTCTACTGGTGTATCCAAGGTCTCTACCAAAATTCAGCTCTGTTGAGAGTTTTTGTTATTTGATCAGTATTTTTACGTCTATTTTGATTGGGCTATCTGCATGGAAACCTATTCACTATTTGGTTATTTGTCAATGTTGCCAAATTATTAATTTTTTTCCAAATAATTCTCTATAAGCCAGCTTTGATAAATCGTAGCGACCTTGATTTTAAAGTTAAGTAATACATAATGTTAATCTGAATAAAAGGCTACACTTTGGTAATGAGAAAGTTGAATTTAGTGATACAGGGTGTTCACAAAAAAATAGCAAAGTTTCCATATTTGAAAGTGACATAACTATTTTTTTTTCAAATGGAACACTTTTATTTCTCTATTCGATAGTCTTTTTTGTGTGCTCTTCACTTTTTATAAGGGGTTTCCTGTGGCTAAGCCGCGTAGTTTTTAGGTTATTCAATATTTTTCACAAAAATAGTTTCTCATTGATTATTTGCATGTTTATAAACACAATACAATAAAAAACCAAAGAATGACTGAAATTAAGCAAGTGTCACAAATCAATTATCTGCCACAAGTTTACTCCCTATTTTGTAATCAAATAAGATTATTTTAAAAGACAAGTTCATCATGTTCGAAATTGCCCTTTTTAATTAATCTTATTTTACTAAGAAATAGAGAGTACACTTGCAGCAGATAATTTATTTGTGACACTTGCTTACTTTCTGGCATTCTTTTGTTTTTATTACCACGGTCTACACCGGTTTATAAACATGTAATTCATTAATTTAATTAATTTGTGAAAAATATTGATTAACCTAAAAACTACAGGGACTAGGCACAGGACACACCTCATAAAAATTGAAGAGCACACAAAAGACTACCGAATAGAAAAATAAAATAGTGGTAGTTCCATTTGAAAAAAAATAAATACAACACTTTGAAATTTGGAAATGTTACTATTTTTTTGTGAACACCCTGTATTACTAAATCCAACTGTCGGATTATCAAAGTGTTTAATTTTATTCAGAATAACATTATTAATCAAATGTAGTTCTTAACTTTAAAATCAATGTCGCTACGATTTATTAAAGTGGGGCTTGCTTATGGGGAATTATTCGGAAAAAAATTAATAATTTGGTAACAGTGACAAAAAACCAAAAAGTGAGTAGTTTCCATGTAGACGTTAAAAAATGACATCGAAACAACTGGACGTTCCATTAAAAAAATCAGTTGTCTATTGACACACAGTAAAAATGGGACACCCAGTACATTCAAAAATAATTTCTGTAGATGCGCAACCTCTATGGTTGACATGTGCACAAAACGGCTTTTATGTTTTTTACCAGGTATGAGCTAGGAAAGACCGACGCACTGTTGCAGGACCCTGTGTAGTGTATAGTGGTAAATAGCTGGAAATTTTTGGAATTAGAACATTTGAATTATCATATACTTTGAATTATTCGAAAAGTTAAATAATTTGCTTATCTCTAATTGAATATTAAATAAATTAAACAAATATAGCAAATAAGCTCCTGGGTATGGCTATTGGCATTGCGTATTATATGACTAAAGCAATGCGCTCATTTTGAATTTCATGCAATTCATGGAGATGTCAAAAGGACCTTCCTTATTTTTTGACCTACATTGTCAATTTACGAACTCTGATTTACAAATTTGATAAAGAATCCACCTTGCAAATTTTCATCGGAATTGGTCCATTCGTTTTCTAGATACCATGCTAACAGACAGACGGAAGGAGGGGAGGGAGCAGACACTGCAAAATTATGAACTCGATAGGAGCTCGTTAATAATTGGATATACTTGAAAATTTTTTTTACTTCGATAATTAGTTGATCACACATACTCAAGAACTCCTGCTTATCTGTGATTATCTGGCAGTTTTTAAAATTTACAGTTCCCGCGTTTTATGCATTTCATTAAAGGCGAATGACGCAAGTTACGCCACTGCGTATTTATTTGGCGCCAATCTAACAATTCAAATTGTACAAGGATGAAAGTTCGTAAGTGAATTTCCACTAGTAGCAAAAAAACAGAACGCTGCCTGCTGCGAGAGGGATTATTTTAAGTGCGTTCGATTTTCCGTTTCAGGAGTAAAGCAGAGCCTGTAGGGTGGAAAAAGTCAAGTGATCTCTGGAGTAAATTAATAACTGTACAATAAACGAATAGCCCAGGCAAATTAGTGCTCTAGCCCCTAAAAATTGCTCCGAGAGCTGAAAATCGTTTTAACCCCTGTAAGGGGTCCTGAATAACGGGTATATGAGTTTGCGACGGTTTCTAGGTTGTGCGTCAGATGTGATAACCTAAAAAGCGCAACATTTCTGAACATTTGGCTCATAACTCGAAAAGTACTTATCCTACAGAAAATTTTACTCTCTTCTTTTCTAAAGCGCATTAAATTTAGCGTCGAATCATTGAAATAAGTTTAGCCGTTCAGCCGCAAGCATCCCTCAAAGATGGGCGATTTTTACAAACTTAGCTCACAACCTTCTAACGCCTGTAACGCCATCTATGACGGGTGATTGTGCTTTTTAGGCTCTCAAATCTGACGCACAACCTAGAAACTGTCGCAAACTCATACATCCGTTATTCAGGACCCGTTAAAGTGGTCAAAACGATTTACAGCTCTTGAGCAATTTTTAGGGGATAGGTCCCTTTTTAGCACTTATATGTCTGGGCTAGAACGGTATGAAGCGAATGGAGTGTCAACATAACCTATAAATTTTGTACATTTTGGCTGGTCAAGTAGTAACTCATGGGAATGTGTAGAAATATTCATTCCAGACGCAAATGATTATCTTTATAAAAAAAATCGCATCCCAAATCAGTCAATTAGAGAAGAGGGCTAATTTTTAGGTTAAAATGAACATGAAGACGTCTATTGCGCTCCGTTTGCACTCTCTCCTGAGATGGAGTGTTTGAGTTACCTCCTTTTAGGTACTCTCTTTTGTAATAAAAAAAAAACGATATGGTGTCAACACTTTTCTGGTGCACCAATAAATGAACGCTTTAGGTTTAGACCAAAAAGAGTGATCACAAACCCACCTTTTGTCGGCCCTGGCAGAATAATTGACGCATGCAGTGTATTGATTCGCAAATATACCTAAATGCATCGTTTATTTTGTTTTGTAATTACTGTAATTAGCATAGAATGTAAGGTAATGTTGATTTGCTTTTATAAATTTGAATTTGCAAGGTCTTCGAACACATTGCGCAAGGTTTTTAAAATAAGTTTACAGTTGAGGGCCGTATTTAGGGGTAGATAGGTTTATTATTTGTTATAAATAGCCCATGGGCATGTAATGTTTTCTCATGTATGTAGCAGTTTCATTGAGAATGTCGCTCAAAAAGATTGTTAGCTTAATTTTGATCCTGATTTGACGTCAGGGTAGTATGGAAATTTCCACAGGTGTAGATGGTACTCTATATTTTGACAACTTGTATGAAGCTGACTTGTAAATTCAATTACGATATTTGTTGTTGGCTTGTGTGATGAGTCTTTCTTTTATTTGAGGGCGTAAAATATTTATTGGATTTGTTCTTGTATTGCCATAATCTTTATTAATTACTAGCAGTCCCGCTAAACTTCGTACCGTCTTCGGGAAATCTCGTTTTTTCCATACCCCGTTCTTGTTTTCCCCGTTCCCGTGGGAACGTAGGGAAGTTCTTTCGGAGTACACCTTAACGCTATGAAAGACACCTACATTCTAAATGTCGAATCTATTTTCGACTGTGAAATATAAAATCCTGATTTTCCGTGTTCCCGTTCCCATGGGAATTTCGGAAACTGGTGGGCATACGTCCAAACATTTTAAATCCTTAGAGGTTTTGTGAATTAAGAGATGCTGTTTGAGCACAAGGTGAAATTTTAAATTTGAAGGTATTATATGCCTACTTAACTTTGCTTTGTACTGGTACCAACAGCTACAGCGGGCTATGCGCAGATGAATACATTCAAATCTGCAGGAAGATCCAACCGATTCTGTGGAGCACTAATAGGTGCAATTAATAGAATATGAACAGTGGGGATGCGCGTTCTTATGCCGGAAACAGTAGTTCGTTGTATAATTACACTGTGCACATTTTAAATCCTTTCAGTATTTCAGAATATTTTGTTGCAAAATTACAATCTGTCTTTTTTGAGTCTCGATTCTTCTTCTTTTGTATTTCCGTATTTGTTTTTCCTTTTAGAAGTTTTGTTATATGCGTAACTGTCTTGTTTAAATTTTATCGCTTTGTAATTGCTCAATGTAGACTGTTAGAAAAAGATATATCTGGTCTAATTGCGTTATTTAAAAAAGTTTGTATCTGGTTGTTACGATAAGGAGATTTATTGTTAGACGAAATTTAATAATGCACATGTGTTATCGTGGATAACAGAATATGCAGGTATTCGCCCCGTTTTAAGTGGGACTGAAATCTTGTTTTGACTGGCGTGTATTGAAAAATTCATGAAGGAGATTATTTTATCAAGGTAAAAAGGAAGCTGCTGGTTTTGCGACGGTTGAAGAGAGTGTACAGTTTTTTACGCTAAATTTCCGAGCAGTCGGCCCTATTTGTTTTAGTTGCCGACGCAATTCGTCCTTTTTACAATAAAGAGACAGTCACGAAAGTGGTAAACAACTGTAACCATATTAGTTACGACACCTAATGCCAGGACTGTTCTTGACTTTTAACTATAGGCTGGGGAAGCCCGCAACCAGGACCCATTTTTACCCATTGAGGGGTGTCTATGTGCGATATACTGGTACAGAAAAAAATTATTGCGGGTCGGACTAATAATAAACTAGAAAGAAGAAACCCAATAAACATTATATGAGTGTGAGAAAGACAAAATGTTAGTACTCAACCTTGTAAATAATTTAAATCTTTTTCATCTTACCTGAGGAATCATGTGATTATAAGAAACGGTGGTAGGTTCGGGTGAAGGGAGCATAACAGAAACTCCTCTCGGAGGTTGCCCATCGCCCTTATACGCCGCGCCCATATGAGAAGCAGCTAAATTGTAGCCATCGTCAACTTGAGGAATGGGCGCGGACATAACATACTGAGGAACCCAAGGTGTACTGGGCATAGCGTACGCGGGCATCTAAACAACGCAAATCGTCAATTTACGAATACCTTAAACGACACGAGAACTTACCTGTCCGTAATGCCTGCCGTAATTCGAGATGGTGGCCGGCATCATGTGCTGCGCGGCGACGCCGTTCTGCGCGAGCGCGTTCGGATCGTAAGCGACCGGAGCGATACCTTCGGCGCCGTCCCTCCACATCCTCGAATTGTCATTGTTCTTGTATTGGTTCTTTTTTTTGTTGCCGCCGTCGGCAAACTTCACTAAAAGCGGTTCCTTGCTTCCCGATAGGGGCGACCCGTTAAAAATTTGTATAATTTGTTCGCACTTCTCCTTGGATTCCATTCGCGCGAATCCGACACCCTTCGAGACGCCTAACGAGTCTCTCAAAATTCTAGTCGATATCACCTGTCCGTATTTCGCTAACATGTTATCTACGTCAGTCTCCTTGAAGTGGAGAGGTAAGTTTGCTATGTACAAATTTGTTGGGTCCTGTTCTTGTTGCTATTGACAAACAAAAAAGTTAATTACTAAATTGGCAATTACGTCGAAAATATTCAAAATTAGTTGCTAACTTTTGTTTGTGATGTACTAGGAGCACATACAGCAAAGAACTTTTGATGCAGTTATTTTTAAAAGCACTTTTGTGAAGTTAGCAATAGCATATAGTGAGACATGATATAGCCAAAAAAGAATAAAAAATCCTATAAATCTACCCCTCCTCAACTCCCACAAATTATCATAAAAACTGGTCCACCCCCACATAAAGTAGTTATCATCAGCGCAATAAATATATATACAAATCAGCTGGGTGGCGCTGTCTGGTAGGTACCTGCCCTTACAGTACCATAATAGTTCTTTTACATACAAAATAGTTTTGACAATTTGTTTATGAAGAAATGAAAGAATCGTCGAAAAAAAAAAGGAAATATAAAATGGTCTTGAGATGTAAGGAATTATAACCGATCACGATCAGGGGTCGAGAAGGACTGTAGGTGGTAGAAATGAGTTTCTTTCGTTGCGACCTTTCATTAGAGTACCATGAAGAATAAAACAGCCCCCCCCCACCCCCACTCATCTCGCGCAGAAAAGTTATAGTTTGCATAAACCAATTCATTTCGATGGGACCTTTCATTACAATACCATAAAGGGTATAACATGTGTTCCTCACTCCCAATTCTTAAAAAATGTGTTAAAAAAGGTACCCGAAAAATTTGACAAAATTCTGGAATTGGAAAGATTTGAAGAATTCAAAAGACCTGAAGAAATAGAACAATCTGAAAAACCCTAGGCTCCGAAGAATTCGCCAAATCAAAGAGTTAAAAAATCTGATAGGTGAATTTAAGAAAAGGAAACAGGAAGAAATTGAAAAAATTTCAAAATGTGATGGATCTGAAGAATCGAAAAGAACAAAAGAACCGGGTAAACAATTGAACAATCCTACATAGAAATAGGAATCCAGATAATTTCAACCAAGTTTTTACTTGAAAAATCGGCCGAGGGCCATAAAAACCTGAAAAATTAGAAGTTTAAAAAAAATTTTAAATCCGAAAGATCTTGAGAATGTGAACCATCTTATGGATCTGAAAAATCTACAGAATAAAATTAATTCAAATTGAAGGTGAATTAAAAAAATTTCAAGATTAAAAAAAATAAATTAACAGAATCAAAAAAATCAAATCAAATCTACATAATTCGAAAAAATCTGTGTAAAGATCCCCTGAAAGATCAGCAAAAATTAATAGGTGAGTGAGACATCTGATGTAAACGAAAAATCCAAAAAACCCAAAGAAACTCAAACCTAACAGCCTTTTAAGATTCTTTGGATTCTTCTTTCAAGCATTTAAAGAAACGAACAAATTTGAAGCACCCCAAGAAATAGAAGAATCCAAAAATCTAAAAACAAACCAAAGAGGTGAAAGAATGATTCTTATTTTCCAATCTATGGAGAAACTGGAGGTGAAATGGACAAAATTTCGGTTTCTTTTGACTACTACATTCTTTAAATGAACTTGTTTTTAGATATCCTTGGTTTTTCCAGAGATTTGCCCAATATACAGTGTCCAACATAAGGATCTCTATCGTGGAAATCTCGGAAACCATAGAAGATACAAAGAAGGTCTAGTTAGGAAAAAGATGCGCCATTGTAGAGTTATTATTATGATGCTTTAAAGAAATCCAGAAAATTCCGATTACTTCCGAAGATATGCCAGAATAACCGAAATTTGCCGATTTCGTTTTTTTTTCTGATGTGAAAAATAAAAAACACTTTCTCATTGCCACTTTTTGAGTTCTACAAGACACCGTTGAGGGATTTTCAATGCAACGTTTCGTTTCGAAGAGACCATCATCAACTTTATTTTGTTCCCCGTAAAAAAGTAAGTAGGTGAGGGACACATTAGCTTGGGGACCGTGGGAGAGTATTTCGGCAGTTGACCCAAGTCAAAGATTGGCAATTGGCCCGAGGTGTAAGGTGAAATTATTTTGGCAGTTGGTCCTGTGATATTTCAGCAGCCGGCCCGGGGTACTATATTTCGGCAGTTGGTCCGGGGTAATTCGGCCGATGACCCGGGGGTATTTTGGAGGTTGGCTCAGGGATCTTTCGGTAGTTGACCGGAGGTACCCGTCATCTTGGATGAAGGACCCATCTGGGATGCTAGACCCGCCGTCTTGGATGCTGTTCTCCTTTTGAATCCAAGGAGTAAAGAATGTGAATGAAAAACAAAAAAATTGCAATAATAGGAGCCCCTGAATGCTAATGCAGGTCTTAGAATGGGTAACAGGTAACTGAGGAACAGGTAACAGATAAACTGGGTAACAGGTAAAAGGTTACGTAACAGCTAATAAAGTACCTGTTAGCTGGTACCTGTTACCTCTCCTATCACTGTACTATGTAGAAATGATGACTGGGGTCTCAGTGAGGAGTAGCAGTGGCCGTACAGGTAACAGGTTCTTTAGTAACTGTTACATGTTGCTCAGTTACCTGTTTCAAGGACTTTGTTACTCTACACGGGCCCCTATTATTGCAAATTTTTTGTTTTAAAACTAGACAATTTAATTCTTTACTTCTTAGATATAGGAGAGCACAGCATTCAAAATGGTCCAGCATCCTAAATGAAGGGTACCCCGAGGCAATTACAGAAATATTCCTGGACCACCCTCCGAAATACCTTCGGGTCATCTACCAATATATCACTGAGCACACCAGGTCAACTGCTGAAATATAATTCTTCACCCCGGATCGACAACTCAAACATGATCACGCGGCCCGAGCCAACTACCGAAATATAACCGAGCACCCCGGATCAACCTGCAAAATTTGGCCCGGGTCAACTGACAAAATATTTTCCTTTGGTCCTCCGAAAGTTTACCAGGCTAAAGTGTCCCTACACCTACTAAAGTACATACTGTGTTACAATAAGACACCGTTGTACAGCACACAAAAAAAACAAAAGTTGGAAAGTGTTGGTTTCAACAGGATGGTGCACCCACGCATTCTGGTTTTCTTTGAACCATCTTTTTTTCGAATTTTACCATCGTCGTTCTTAGAACCGCGAAAAAAAACAGAGTCCAAAGAATTTGAGTGATCCTAAATAATAGGAAAAATTCAAAAAAGTCAAGGAATCTGATAAATCTAAAGGATGTGAAGAATCAGAAAAATCACTGAAAGATTTTATAGAAGATCGGAAACTGGTCCGAATCGCTCTAAAAAAGATATGGAAAGTTGTGGAAATTATTATTATTTTTATTATTAATATAGCTTTATTGGGTGATGCAGCAGTTCACAAATACAAGGGACTGCTCTTCTCCGCTCTACCACTTAACCTCAAAATTTCTGTGAAAGAACCCATAACTGACAGAATGTAAATATAATCCTTAATGACCTAAATAGATCCAGAAAGGCGCAAAAATGGCCTGGAACGAACTTGGTATAGCTTTCCACAGTACCTACTTCTCCCTACAGTGACTCTATAGACACTGTTATTTTCTATTGGTAGTTAGGACATCCGCCATGTTTTGGCCAAATACACTGGATTGGTGGAAATTAACCTTGAAACCAACATAACAAAATTCACTAATTCGGTTAAACCAATCAGTTCAATGATAAATTAAAAAAAAACATGGCCGACATGGAGCATTATGGCCGCACTTGTCTTTATACAGTCACTGTACTTCTCCCTACCACAAGGAACATTTTAGCGCAATTAAGAACTTCTCAAAGTCTTCTAGATAGTCTTCAGATTGTCTGTGAGAGTCTCACACAGCCTTGGAAAGGACTTTGAAACATCCTGGAGGTGACCTGTAAAGTTCGAAAGCGCGTAAATAGTATATGAAAGGCGGAGGAATGTTCTAGATAGGACGGTCATCATCTAATACCTCCTGCGGACTGCGGGTTCCTCCTAAGCTACTTGGGAAAATGTTCCATTATTCTTTCAAGTGATTTTCAAGGCTTTCCAGAATATTCTAACGTTCTCCAGAGCCCCTTGTATAACTCGAGGGAGAATGGTTTCCACTCTGTCAGCGTCGTTTCCCTTCCAGAGCTGCTTAGGAAACGTTTAAAACCACTTACAAGGTATTGGAAAGCACTTGAAAATATAAGGTTTCTAGAATGCTACATGGTACAGAAGGTGCCATGGAGGTAGTACTTTTCGTATTCTGAACATATAAGAACTCAAGTTATGAAAGAGCAGGTACTGCTTTAAATATTTAGGATGTGTTAGTTGGCCACTACTTTACAGTATTGCTAACTTCACGAGAGTCTTAGAACTGTGCTGCCACCTAGTACACAAATACATAAAAATTATAAACCTGTTTGATTGCACACAAATAAGTGATGAATGGTTAGTGTTAGTGATACTTAAACACATTCGTTTCACTTTTGTTTTAACGATGCGCATCACTTTCTTGTAAACTAGCTAAGTTAATAGTATTAGTACTGTAGTGAGGCGATGGCAATACCACACTGTACATATAATTACATGCGTACATCACTAGTCCAAAAACAGAAAGGCGATCGAGTTGAGAAGATAAAAATTTGGTCCAAGGTGTCTTGTCTAATACACGCACAATTTTAATATAAGAATGAATATGAAACAAAACACCCTGTCTTAAAACGGTTTATCCAAGTTTTGTAGTGTGCGCGACTAATAACTCGAAATTTTATTACTTACATGCATTTACTTGTCCATGCAAAAATGATACTAAACAACTTTCGAAAGTTATCTACATCCACTAATCCGTCAAATACCAAATTTGCGACGACATGCAACAGTGCCTGCCTTTGATCTACTACATTATGCACGATTAATTCGCTTACTCCCACATTTTGTGCAAAATTTACATTTGTACACGATCCTTATCGTAATATGCATGTATTGATTAATTGTAGCGATGCTGTTCTGTCAACTAACGTGTGATAGCAAAGTATCTTTGAATTATTGAAAGTGTTTGATCACACCGGACCGGAACAGCAATGCTAAGCTACTTAAAAAGCTACCAAATCTTAGTTCGCGATGAAGCGCTTTAATTTATACATTTTATACATGTACATGCTCTATACTACATTACATTCAAGTCTAGAGATCATGCTAGAATACTTAGCTCGGTCTTCTTTAGACTTAAATGACATGCTTCTGCCAGTACTCAAATCATTTAGTAACTAAAAACTTGCACTTTTTGCATACACCCTGTACAATAACGTCGCCGCTGTTTCGATCCTCTGATGTGTTCGGCTTCGGTCGATAGATTCGAGTACTTCCAAAAATATTTGCAGTGCAAGTATCGAGTTACCAATCCAAATTTGAAAAGCAATTAATACATACCAAAGAAATCGAGCCAAACCTATTCTTCCAAGGTCGATATATACATATTTTGTTAAATGTGAATAATATTTACAAAATCTTTTTGAGTAGTGACAGAGGAAGGAGTTAAGTAAAGCTAGGTTTTACTTGCATGCAAACGTACAGTGTGCTGTCTACGGGTAAACCGGATACCCACTTTGGCCATCTGTGCCTGGATGTTCTTGGCTACTAGAGCCTTTACAGCACCCTCCGCTGCTGCCGGAGATTCAAAGTCTACAAATCCGTAACCTGAAAACAAACGTAATCGATTTACTTGGTGCTCTTGCAACAGGATTAACTTATTATTAAATCAACCTAAGGGGCGTCGACAAAAGTCTGACCAATACCATGGGACTAATAGTGCATCAGTGCGGAAATGAACGTGAAACTCGCACGTTATTTGTCCCTGGACGCATATATTCACGACGGGCGACATTGTTATGTTGTGGAAATAAATATAAATTGTTCAAATAATAATACAAGATGGTAAGGGATTTCAGAGATTAACTAAAAACTTGTGAGATATCCTGGGATAGAAGGCCCAAAAAATTTTTCCCGGACTCGCAATGCGCTTAGGACAGTTACATTTAGTCGCACACGAATTACCACAGCTATAGCAATGTATATTATGAGAACATAATGGTTACACATGTGCCGTTGCACGGCAGCTCCAGGACATTAGCTGAACAGAGGAGGACTTCTGTCAGCCTGTAAAGAGATAAGGTGTTTCGAAGAATTGCGCGTTTCGTGTTGTAGAGGTGGGGATGTTTGGCGTGTTCCGTCGTTGATTGGAGAGTTGTTTGAAATTTTTTTAAAGGAGGAGTTTACTTGATGGTGGAAGTAGTGCTTTCTTAAATACTGGAGACGAGTAAATGAGGCTGCTGCTGCTAGTTTTCGGGACGGTAAAAAAGCGTGTGCATCTGTTTACGCTAAATTGCGGGCAGTCAGCCCTATTTGTTTTTTTGAAGACATATCGGACAAGCGGAAAAAGTTTTGTCGAGTTGAAAAAGGAAGCAGTGTAGTATAGCGAAGTCATTTGTTAAGGTTCTCTCTCATTAAACGTTTCTACCGTCTTAACTGCCACCGAAAATTTGTTCATTTTATTCATTAAGCCAGTTTTGAGTCATCTAATTGTGTGTTATAAAGCAAAGTCAAGTTCAGAAGCTGTCAATGTTTGTGAGAGTTTAGTTCGCCTAGTATCGCAAATCATTTACGACCGGATTATTTGGATTAAGAAAAAAACTGAATTTTAAAATGTCTTATTTTAATTGTCAACCGCCTGCGTTCGGGGTAAGCTTTTCTTTACTGCAAGGATTTTGTTTTAATTTTGTTTCGTTCTGTAGCGAAATAAATGTTTACCATTTTCAATCAGTTAATTGTGTGTTTATTCGAATCCAGTGTGCGACCCAGATAGAGTTTTCATGTCAAATTTTCCTATTTGTGCCCAAGTTTTATTTCAGGTGTTAATCAAAAGTTGTGCAATAAATTCTTTGGAATTTTCAGAAATTGATCAAGGCCACCAAAAATGGTAACATTCTAAAATTCTACATTGCGGGTGGTGTAGTGACCACTTACCATTGCACACAGCAGTGGGCTTTTTTATTGAGAAGTTCATAGCTACCGTACAAATATAGCGTCTCTACTCTCTTAATCTAAGAAGGAATTGGATGGAAGAGGCTAAGCATCTTTCACAGTAACTGGGAAAAGAAGTCCAGAAGGGTTGCAGATAAACAGAAGCAAGGACGTTCAATTCCGGAGTGTTAGTCAAGTACTAGTAACCGGTTTCAAAATCAGAGACAAAGTTTAGTGACATTCAAAAGTCAGTTCTTAATATTAATGGAGGAGACACTTCATTTCTAAAATTTGGCATGACTCTCCGTTGAGCAATTTACGGGATGATAACTAGCTAACAATAAGCTTAAGACATTCAAAATTTGTTCATGTCCATTTGTTGTATTCCCTGAATCTATTATACCCTTGACATATCTGTAAATGGAAATGTGAAAGTACGAAAGTTGGAAGGAACGTTGCTGTTCATGTAAACTAGAGAAAGAGATTCCGAGAATAACTAAAAACTTGAGATACCCTCGGCTAGAAGGCCCAAAAATTGCGCAATGCATTTAGGACAGTTACATTTAGTCGCACTCGACATACCGCAGCTATAGCAATGTGTATTTTCAGAAAATAAGGACCGCTGAGCAGACGAGGCGAACCTAAATGATTTTTTTCGGAAAAATAAATGGAGGATGTTAAGGAGGCAATAAGAAGGGCAGCTAACTAGGCAAATTGAAAAGATGAAATAGAAGATTGACAAGAGAAAATGAGAGGATTAAGGAAGGAAATGAAGAGCAATGGGATAAGGAAAAAGAGAGTTATAGAACGGATGAACAAACTCGAAGAAGAAAATGAGAAAAGAAAGACAGATAAAGAACAATGTAAAGATTAAGGGAGTAGAGATGGTAAAAAGGAAACAGTGAATGGAAGAATGGCTAAAAGAAAAACTACAAGTAGAGGCGAGTTTGAAGTAGGGAGAAATAAAGTAATAGTCGCGGAACTAACATGGGAAAAGAAGAGGGAAGTTAAAAGAGGCAAGGAAAGTTAAAGAAGTTTGTAAGAGGATATGATGTGGTGGGGGAATCATAGATAGAAAAACCAGTTCGCCAAGAGGCAAAACATAAAGAGAGGAGAGAAAGGAGAAATTTTAACAAAAGCAAAAAAAGATATAAGGAAATGAGGGAATTAAACGAAAGAGAAAGAAAGCTACATGAAAGACGAGTGAAAGTGGAGGAGATTGACAGCGATATATAATAGAAAAGGAATGAAAGAGTAAAGAAAGTAAATTAGAAAATACGATAGATGAAAGGGAAAGGTAGAGGATAATAATAATGGGGGAGATTGGATGGAGATGGGAAGAGGAAGACAATATAGAAAGTCAAGAGGAGTTGTTACTGGAATTAACAGAAAAGAGAGGTTAGAGATGGAGGAGATAGGGATGGACCATAATACATATAGGTACATGAGAGGGAGAGGGAGGTCAGTAATTGATTAAAGTAGAAACAAGGACAGAATAGGATCACCAATCGTGAGCAAGAAATGGAAAGATTCAAAGATGAAGAGAGATACAAATATGGACAAAAGACTAGAGGAGCAAGTAAAACATGAAGGAGAGTATAAAAAGGCATTAACATGAAAACAGGTAAAGGAAGAGGAAGGGAGAGATAAAAGAAAGGGGTGGTGAGACAGAAAGTGTACTGAAGAGAGAAACAGAAAGAATATGAAGAACAAATCAGGAAAATAAAAGCAGAGAGAACTTTTGGAAGATGATAAACAGAGAAAAAAGGAAAAACACTTTTAGTGGAAGAGAAATACAAATAAAGGACGGGAAGTAGCACTTTATGAAGGAACTACAAGAGAAACAGGAGAAAGGGTGTGGGGTAAAAGAGAGGAGGTGAAGAGGACGAGATATCAAGTAGTATTAAGAAGCTATTAATAAACAAGATATGAAAAGAAGGAGGACTACCGGAAAAATGGAAGGACTGGATAGTAGTGTCGATTTACACAAGAGGGGACAAGGTCGTTCTGGAAGATTATAGGAGAATCTCGATAATAACGATGGCGTATTGAATCTACGCAACGGTACTGAATGCAAGATTTGAAAGAGAAATGGAAGATAAGAGGATGTTGGAGGAAACGCAAATTGGCTTTAGAAAAGCGAGGGGAATAATCCACTGCTTATATGTACTACACAGGATGGTGGAGAAAGAATTGGAAAAAAAGGGCGGAAAGGTGCGTTTGGGAAGGGGGGAGGTAGCAAATGGGCGATAGAATGAAAGAGGAAGGAGGAAATGGTAGAGCAAATAAGAGAATTTAAATACTTAATAATGGGGCGCACAAATAAGGGAATTAAGAAAAAAGACTGCAGTGGCGGTGAGACAGGTGTGGGGAGTAAGAGAGAGAGAAGAATTTTAAAAATGTTTCCAGATTAAGAAAACACCTTTTTGACGCAATGGTGAGAGGGGTGTTGATGTATGGAGCGGAGGTACTACAAATGGGTACTGGGACTAAACACAAAGCCACCAAATTACCTGAGGAAATAAAAATGAAGAAGGATAGAGTGGGGTCGCAGGGCAATAAGATTTAAGGAAAGGAGAGAAAGGGAAAGTGAATTAGTGAAATAGCGAAGAGGATGAACACAAAAGAGATTTAGTGGGAACAAATGACACAAATTCTCAAACAAAAGTTCCCATACAAGGTGCTAAAGTGAACCATCCACTTCTGATCGCTTAAGCTAGTGAAATTTCGGTGATATCTTGTTATTTTCAAAGAACTTCAAAAACTTTGCCCCCGTTTAACCTACATTGTACTCTCACAGTTACCGACTCAATGGTGAGGAACGAATTTGGACCATCCTGTACAACCATCATCTATGAGAAAATGAGTTGCACAAAATTGGAAAATTCCCTCTATACTGTACCAAAAACATGCACACATTCAAATGTTTATTATTCCTAAAGGGTTTGAATGAAGTGCGCCCGATTCTGATTTCCGTAAGAAAACACTATGACTCCAGTAGCGGAAGTATGTCACAGTGAGACCAAACTTTCTGTTCCGTTTTTACGATCACGATATTGTTTCACATTTCGTACACCTCTCTTTATTAAATAAACACTGTGCTGTTTGGACACCCCAAAAAAAACGGGACACACTACCGCAGTATTTGTTCTAGAAAGAAATTTCGGAGCTACATAATGAAACCCTCAAATTATTTGAAATAAAAACATGTTGCAGCGTGACAAGATTTTGCACAGGGTTGCCACTACATAATTGACGTATTTGGTCACAGTAAACTGGTAGGTACATGCATTGAATTGGCTTCGCCATGGCACCCTCTTGCAGTGAAGATATTGTGGATATTAGTATGTACAAATCCTGCCATAAGCAAATTGCACTATTAGGTTTGATTGGCCAAACGCTTTGGAAACACCCTGTATAACAGAATTCCTAATTTCACATGCTGGTGACGCTTGGGAGTGAAATTACCAATTCTTACATGCTCTACACTGTAACCTACCTTTACATTTATTAGTATTCTTATCTAAAATGGCTTTGGTTGAAATTATAGTTCCATACCTGTAAGAAGAACATTGTCACAAGAATAAACGAGTGCGTCTCGGCGAGCGAAAGTTGACGTTAAAAATCGCTATGTATACTTACTGTGAGCAGAGCCCTACTAGATCTTTGTCGGTCGTAGAAGGATTCAATCCCCGAATGTAAAGGTTGGTCTTAGATAGTTGCTCCCCACTCGACGATTGTGAACTCGAATGTGAGTTTGAATTTGAGTGTGAGTTGGACTGTGACTGTGAGTTTTGGGTTTGTGACGGCATGTTGTTGCTGAGAGAGGTAGAGACAGCGCCGGTTTGGCTACCTGTGTGACTACTGGAGCTACTTGTGTTACTGGGAGAAGGGGCGGTTGGCACTCTATGGTTACCGTACTGAAACAGAAAAACTTCAAATAAAATCAGCATTACTCATAATTCTTATTACTAATATGAAGCCGAGTATGAAGCCTAATTCTTTCTCTTTCTACTGCTCCACCCGTTGCGTGTAATTATCGCCGTGCTGCTTCACCCGACTGGAAAAAGTCTGAAAGGCCCGACAGACGAGTTCAAAATGCAAACAGAAGGTAAAACACACCGAATTTCAATAATCAAGAAGCATCAATAAAATTTTCTGATTTCATAATTGCTTACACAACTTATAGTAACACTTATAAATAATTAATAACAAAAGTCCAGTATTAATTTAAATAACTCGTTAATTAACAACGCGCGCCAATAATTTATTTTAATTTATTTGTTGCACCATGAAAACTCATTGTTGCGGTGTAAATCTCGGCACGGTTTTTATTTTTATATTCCAAAATACTCAAAAACATTACAAACTACAGAAATGCTCGTTTCATGTACGTTACACTGCCCCCTTCTTAAAGTCTCGAGTCAATCTAAGCATGCTGGTTCTGAGACCTGGTTACCAGATCTTCATTGGTTCCTGTAATAATATCCACATTCATTGCTCCTGTTGAAACTGCTGAAGGTTGGTACTTTCACTTCATTGTTGCCAAAAAGCGTCTTGCCATACAGTAAGAGCTGCGTTGTAGTGTGTAGGAACTTCAGCTTCAGCTCATTATAGCTTGTGCCCACGCCACTGGTGCTTTTTTTTGTCGATTTCATTTTGCTGTCCATTCAGTTTTCTTCGGAAATAATCGTTTGCTTTTCCAGCTTTGACCTTAATATCTAAGATGCCTTTAAAAACCCTTATGACCTCTTCAAAGGCGTTACGTGCTTTATCCGCTTTTAAGCTGTACGTTTAAAGGTCCCTAATAGCTCACAGAGTTAACAAAAGTCTTCCATAAACTATTGTAGTCGTTAAGATTCCTTCCCTTCTCTAGAAACCGAGCCTTGAAGAGTTTCTGTGAGCCTTTGAGAGTTTTTAAGAATCTGAATACAAAAGCCTCGTGCACAGTCTCCAAGAGCTGCCAGTGTTCAAGCGATTTCCAAAAGCTTTCCGAGTCCTTAAGATTCTTTTCTGTCTCTAAGAAGCGAGTCTTTTTTAAATCTGAAAGCGCGATAAAGGGTTTTCATACGTTTTCAAAGGTCTCCTGAACCACTAAAGGTATCAGATTCTTTTCCCTAAGAAGAACTGTAGAAAACGGGGGGGGGGGGGGGGTGTGGATGGATTTCTATCCCCCCCAGTAACACTCTATTCCATAAAATAATTATCAGATTCTCTTCTCTGCAGAGAACAGTAGCACGGGGGGGGGGGCTTTCCCTGTAACCCCCAGGAGTCCCAGCCCCCCCCCCCCTCCCATACTTCCACATAACAATGACCACATTCCTTTCTAAGAAGTACTGAGGAGAATATAACACAGGGGAGGGGAGGCAGCTTGAATACCCCCGGCAAAGAGGGATTTCAGAGCGCGGACAGGGTTTAAAACCGCCCAACAAAGAAGGAGTCGATAACCCTACTACGTTCTTTGCATACGAATAAAATTACGTGCATACTGTTTCATACGCATTGTAGGCCAAAAGTTAGATGTTAACGATAAACGTATGTATCTGAATCACGTGGCTAGTTACCTTAGCAACGAACCTCAAAAACGTAGCGGTTCGTGTTTGCCGAGACGAAAATTGCCTTAGAAACAAATGCTGCTTTGCTATTGGTGTAAAATAGATGCCAGACTCCCAAGTTTCGTTGGTTCCGTTGTTAGTTTGATATAAATAGCTTATTGTTCGTGAAGATGAATACCTCGTACCTCGTTCGGGCTTGAAGAGTTTTGGTAAGTCTTTGAAAACTGAGCCGTTAACGAAGTTTTATGGAACTCCAAAAGCTTCCAAAAGTATGTAAAGGTTTTTAGTAATGGGCTCATCCCGCCTTCATTTTTTATTTCTGATCCACAAAGTACATTAAAAATAAAAAGACCCGTGTGTCCTCAATTTTTATTTGCGAGTAAACTAAACCCAAAATAAATTATTGAAAAGCTGTGTTTTTAGTCCGAATTTGAAACGCTTCAGACTAAATACGTCACAAACCTACAACCAATCACGTAGAAGTGAGCTGGCAACCTTACGCGAGGGTCTGACGTTTGTCACATTTGACGTTTTGAGAGGGATGTTTAACTGCATCTAGCACGAAAGTGACAAGTGCCTGTGACAGATGACGCAAGTTATAAATGCCATTCTCCTGCATTATTGCCAAGTCGTTCTGTCATTTGAATGGTTCATCTGAATGGTTCTAGGAGCTGATTGGTCGGGCTTAGCGTCACAGAATGCCCGCCACAATCATATCGTTTTGAATAAACCTTTAAAACCGCACATGTTCATTATTTTTTTGCTAATCAGCCTCTATTTTTAAATAAACTTTTACTGTCCAAAAAAATGTTTTATGGTTTCAGGTACACGCTTATTAAATTAGAACTGCGGAATTCAACTATACTGTAAACCCCCATTCTCAAAAGCCTTTAGGGGTCTTAATAGTAAAAGCAGTTTAAGAGTTTTTAAGAATCTTTTCAAGTGTCTCCAATAGTTTTCAAAAGCCTTTACAAGACTTTAAAGGTATTCGGAACCTTTGAGGGATTTTTCTGTCGCTTTTGAGTCTTTCAAAGTTGTCAAAAGCATGCCATCTAAAAATAGTACGAGTGTACTCCTGAAAACTGATATCTGTCTGCAATCTTCTCTTGCCATGCTTTTTTAAAAACCCGACGTTATTTCGGAAATCGTATGGTAGTACGTCCGTCAGTTTGTGCGTACGATAACTTTTGAAAGAAAGGTCTTAGGGTATTGAAGCTTGGTAATTCGTTTGCGGGTCAAGTAACAACCCTCTTGGATTTGTCGGTTCGTTTTCCCGACCGGAAGGTTTTAGGTACCCTATTGACCGTATGTCAAAAAGTCATCTACGCAAAAGTTCATATAAATCTTCTTTAAATCGTGCGGTTGTCAGTTCGTCCACCAGTGCGCAGAATAAATCTTCGTATTGGGAATTCTCGAGAATGTCCATGATCCGTTTGCTATTTAAAAAAATGAAGTCGTGCTTAATAGAAGTTTGAACATCGATGCCGAAGAGATTATTAGTGAAGTTGTGCTCGTATGTGATAATGTTAATAATTATCTCTTATAAATCAATTCATTTAAGGACTGTTATAAATTCATTATTAATTAATTTTAAATAAATCAATTAATTTAATTTACGACACAATATACAGCTCCCTCTTGTTCCAAGTAAGAACCCTATTGAATTTGTACGTCCGTTTGTTCGCTCGAACGGGCCCACAGTAATATAACGCTATTTAATTGGAAGAAATATAGTTCTTCGGAAAATGTTCCGTAAATTTGCTCAAAACCAAAAAAAGTGGGGCTGGACGGGACTTCCTCACGCTCCGTTGTTGATATATTTAGGTATCCCTCATCCAGAGGTTCCATTTTCTCTTTGGGAGTATCTTCCGACACCTCATTCTTCAGATATTCGCATTAAAGTTTGACCACACTAATAAATACCTCTCGTCCAGACCTTCCATTTTCTTTTTGTGAGTAGGTACCCTTCTCCGACACTCAGCCAAGGAGGAGGGCGATAGAAATAAATTCGTTTCATTGAAAGAATACCATATAGGGTAGAACCAGTGATTATCTGCTCATTTACAAAAAATCCGTCCCCACATGATCAAACATAAATGGTTGGCTCCTCGTCGCCAAAACCATGCATTTGGTTCTTTTTCCAAAGAAACCGAGCCATAAATCAAAAATTTGATTATCACCCTGGATACACAAATTGGTAGCCGCATATAAAAATTATGCGGTCTCACTGTCCAAAACAGTACACTCATTCACTGCAAGTAGGATCATCTGAAGAATGAGTACCTCGCCTGTCTAGTCGGGCCATGTGGCCTTTGGAGCCGTGATCCGATCAGATAAGTGTGAATTTCTGTGTTATCTTTCGCTTCGTGCGGAATTACTATTTTCATCTTTCGATCGATGTTACCAGTGAGGAATGAAAAACTTCTTTGATCAGTGAAACGTAAACTTGTTCGAGGGGGTTGCTAAACTTAAAAAGTGCTCGACCTGCCAGATATCCCGTAGCAAATGCGCAAAATGATTTGAAGTGTGGTACAAAGTCCACATCTCATATGCACGTTTAAGGATCGTGTCCCATTGTTCGTTTCAGACGAGCACCTGCACACAAGATCACGTAGTCGATTTTCCCTAAAGCTGTCACAAAGAAAAGCACTACTCACTCGATTTCATAATACAAAAAGGTTCAAATAAACAAAATGAATCACGCTTATCGCCTGTGGAGCTGGAGTGATTCAAATTCCCATAAGTGACCGGTTTTTCTCAATATCCAAGTGAGTCATCGATATACTTACCGAATTACTAGGGGTATACGTGGCGGAGGTAGTGTTCGAACTAGGGTTGTAGGAATTGACCTGCGCCTGGGTCGGATAACGCTGGTAGTAGGAACCGCCTCCTCCTGGATGGCTGTTCCACTGACCGCGGAAGCTGGTCTGGTGTTGCGTGGCCATAGGAGGCTTCACGCCGCCCGGAAACGGCGCCCTTGTGCCTCCTCCGTTACTGCCCTAGAACGAAAAAAAAACGCCGTCAAAAACTGTGCCGGTAACCACGTCAAAAGTTGCGAGGGTAATGGATACGACGTATCTTATCTTGTGACATAAGAAGTCCCACTTAAAAACTTACTTCATAATTTGACAATAAAGCAATTTCCATCGCGAGCCCGTTAGATCTTTTAATCGCACTGCACAAGCGGTCACAACAAACTGGGAAAACACGCCAGATTACATTTTACGAAAGTACCGTGAGTAATAAAAGTTACAACAAAGAAAAATTGTGAAAATGACGTAGATCGCCAAAGACCTACTAACAAAGGATGCGTTTAATGACTGACAAATTACAAATTCTAGATAAAATAATGTGGAAGGAGAAAATGATAATCATTTATGATTCAGTTTTATAATTGGAAGTGTAGATAAGGGTCGACGATAATTTGTTATTAATTGTACCTAACGTAATATTCACAAAATATTTGTACAACCTAAGATAGCATCAAGTTCTCTTAAAACAATCCGTCTTTGCAAACATCGACCAGATACCCCTCTCCTTGAGGCGCAGACACACAAAACGAAAATAGCCATTATGTTGCAATTGTTAACAATATCAAGGTTAAGGCAAATATGTGTTATTTATTTGTGTATGGAAAATGCCAGCAATCATTTTACAACAGTGTCTTTTGTGCGGTAGATGGCGTGGGGGTGCGAAATCAGGACCAATAATTTCGCGCTGCAAACCCACCCCATCTACACTGCCGGAAACACCGATGGACCTTGCTTTGTTAGCTAAATTTAGAAAAAATCCGCCAAATTTAGGTCAAAATGCAATCCCAGTTTTTTTAAATTTTTCATTCTTGAAATTTTCAAAAATCTATCAAGGAGGCCATTTATGTCGCACTTTCGCCGAGACCACGTCGAAATAGATCACTTTCGTTGCATGTGTATTTGTGTTAAAAAAACCACGAAAAAATCGTTAGCTTTGATTATCAAAAATGTTTGAAACAAATATTTCAAAAAACTATAAAGAGACAGTTTACGTCACCTTTCCGCTGAGACAAGGTCCAATTAATACGTGGGTATAGTGTATTTTTTTTACTATAAAAAATGTTTAGGAGTGACTTTTGCAAAGGCGAAACACACCACTTCGATGTTTAATTTCTTTAATTTAAAAAAAATTTTAGTACAGAACATTTCAAAAAAACGTTCAAAGAGGCTATTTATGTCACATTTTGGAACTGAAAACCGTCATTTCGATCTTAGTCTACTCTTTCGCGTTGGAAAAGCAACGGAAAGATCTATTAACTTTGATTATCAAGAAATTTTTGAAGAAAAAAATTTTGAAAAACAGTCGAAAAGAGTATTTATGGTAACGCTGAGATAAGGTCATAACATCACTTCAGTGCATAATACGTGACTGTAATGAGCTTTTACGTGTGAAGAATGAGAAACGCAATTTAGAAATTTTGGTCCTTTTTTTCTAATACAAAGAACAAATTCTTAGGTATGACGGTTTTCAGTTTCGAAAAGCGACATAAACAGCGTTTTTGAGAATTTTTTGAAATTGTCTATACTACGATTTTTTTTGATAATCAAGACAATGAGTCCTTGGTCGCAAACACAAAAAAAACATTACTATTTCTTTAAATTAACGTAATAGATTGTTAAACGTTTTTCTAACGTAAAAAACACATTGCAGTCACGTATTAGGCATCAAAGCGATGTGTTTCGACATTGTTTCACCGAAAATGAGAAATAAATAACCCTTGTGACAGTTTTTTTAAACATATTCTTTCCTAAAAATGTTTTTGAAAATTAAGGAAAAGATTCTTCAAACAAAAAAAACGCATTGAGAATCCAAGTGATGTTTCGACGTTCCCTTTGCAAAAGTCTGACACAAATAGTTTTTTTTCAAATTTTCTATCCCAAACAATTTTTTTTAAATCGAGGGAATAGATTTTTTGCCGTTCCTCTCATAAAAAAACCACTATAGTAACGTGTTAGACCTATAAGTAATGCATTTTGACGTTGTCACAGCGGAAAAGTGATGCAAATGGCCTTCTTGGTAGTTTTTTTGAAATTTTTTGTTCCAAATACTTAGTTTTCAGTTTTAAGGATTTTTCGTGGGTTTTTTTTAACACGTTGTTCGAAGTGAACTATTTCGACGTCGTCTCAGCGAAGGTGCTATAGGTTTTTAAATTTTTTGGATGAAAAATTTGAAAAAAACTTGGTAACTTCAAAAGTCGGACGGACAGACGGACGAACAGAGAAATTTGCTGCAATAGCGCACCCCACTTCGTTGGAAAATGCGATAAAAACAAGGGTTATAACCAGCGACCCAATGATTTTGGACTTTCTGTCCGTGCGACCGTCCGTCTGTGCACATAATAGCTGGCGAACGGTTTCGAATTTTCAAATTCTTTGTTCAGTAATAAATAGGCAGATAATAGTAAAAGGATTTCTGCGTCCGTTCGAGGTCTTAACTACTCTTACAGTTCTCAAGATATTTCGTTGGTTCTTTTTGCATTCAGTACCGTATTGCCCTAACACCTGAGACAATTCTGCACAATAACAACTTTCTCATTTATGGAGACATTTTTTGAAATTCATGGAAAATGCGATAGTTACTCGCCTTAAAGCGAAAACCTTTTCTTCTTTTTGTTTACCTTAGAAGAACGATTCACAATCTAATGCCTTAAGCCTTGTAAGTTAGAAGGCTCTGGACTATCTTTTCACTTTTGGGACAATTTCGGCTGCATGCTGTACTTAAAACCTCTTAAAGGGTTTTAGAGACTGTAAAGGACTCAAAGAAGTTCCGGACTTGCAATCCTTAAAGATTGAATGTTTTAGGAACTACAAAATATTCGCAAAAATGGATCACATATATTTAAATACTCAGCCCTTCAGGACACTTAAATGTTTTTGAAACGATTTAAGGGTACGCTTAATTCTTAAAGGATCTTAAGAGTTTACGGAGTGTTCCTTGGGAACTCTTTGGTACTCTTGGAAGTTCCTTGAAACTATTTGCAATATTTAAATAATCATAAAAGTTTCTATTCTACTAATTTTAAAGGACTCTTAGGGGCTCTTCAAGGCGCATCTCTCGGGGTCTGGATTTTAACGACTCTAAAACCCTTGACCACACTTTTGGAAGCCCTTAGACTTTGGTGGTGCCTCTTAAAAGCTCTTGACTTTAAAAACCATTAACGCTCATAGAGGATCTTAGAGAAGGATAATAAATGCTCTAAATGAAATTCTTAAAGACTTCTTAAAGACCTATTCGTGGTTCTAAAGATCACAGAAGGCTGTAGAGACTATAAGACTTTCAAATACTTAAGGGCTCTTAAAGTTAGTTTCTTAAAAACTATTGAAGACTCTTAAATGCCCTTAAGGACCCTAAAAGGCTATCTTAGGACACTGATCGTAAAGATCCCTAATCACTCACTGCTATTTTGACTTACCCTATACCCACAGTTGGCAATTCTGGAGAAAAATACAACTTTATAGACACTGGCGGCAATAAAGTGTCTAATTTTTGATTGGTTGTTGAGATCGGCGGCCATGTTACATCAAGTGTGTCATATGCGTATTGTGTGTTGCCTACACTACAATAAGTATTGGTATTTGATGATTTTGAATTTTCATATATAATACCATAAGTAGTCGAAGTATTGTCGAATATTTTTGAGGTGCTGTCACGAATGCTAGTTACGCTGATTAATACCACGAACGCTTGCGCGAGTGGTATTAAAAAGCGTAACTAGCATGAGTGGAGCAGCAGCTCAAAAATAATCTACAAATACTTCGACTACGAATGGTATTCGGAGGACTATTCAATGAATCAAAAGAAAAATTAAGCATAATTAACCACGCGAATGTATTTCCATGACAACAATAAACGTCAAAATAAATTATGGAAGTTGCTTTTAATTTTGCTATTGATTCTATTCGAACTTGTGTGCTCCAAGCTAATTCGTTATGAGAGGTTAAATTAAAAGATGTGGTGATAAGTCGGTTGTCGAAATTGATTAACAAACTAAGAAGAATGTTCCGGTTAATACGACAAAATTTCGCGTCATTTCACTGGTGGAAGTTTGACAAATGTCATTGAATAATCGCATTGAATTGTCGCTGAAATACCACACGTGAAATTATCGCTGAAATACCACACGTGCAATTATCACTATAATTCGTTCCCATTGGCGCAGCAATTTGAAATCGAGACATTTCACTGGTTGAAATGTGACAAATGTTAGATGAATTGAATAGTCAGGTTTATTTTGATGCACGAGTGTAATTTAGGGGAATATTTCCCGAACAAGCATTACTTGTCAAACTGACGTTACCTACTTATAAATTGTCGGTGTATTGTGAAATTGTCCAAAGGAGTTGCCAGTTGCCATGGATATGGACAGTGCAATTATCGCAGGGCTCTTTCGCTTTCTACAGTGCAATTATCGCTGTAATTGAGCGATAATTGCACACCTCATATGGCATTTATGACATATGAGGGAAATATTCGGTCATATTGCACTGAGGCTATATGTAGTGTACGCAACACGTCATACGTGTATTGTGTGTTGCCTACTTCTAATTTAAATTTTCAATGTAATTTGGCGGCTCCTATTATATAACTTTTGATTCAGAGGTCAAATCGACAAAATACGAGACGTTTTGGAATCTACGAGTATATTGTCGCCAGTCTCTATAAAGGCACTGTAGCGAAGCAGTTTCAGGCCAAACTAACGGACGTTTTGCAGCACACTCAAATTTCGTTAGCAGTTAGCTCGGACTGCGCGGTACGAATAGGACTCCTACGTTGAGCGTTGTGTTATACTGTGTGTTGGGACGTGAGACACAATCGAGAAGGGAATAAAACTAAGAAGTTTTATGTACTGCACAGGGTGTTCCTAAATATGATGTAAAACGGGCTAATTTTCTGGCTTAATTTAAAGCTGAATTTATAGTTCCGTACCCGCAACGCCGTACCGTAACGTTTGGAATTAAACCCTACT